AGCACAAAGTTATCTGGGCCATTAGTCATAATGACTAAAGATGCAAAGTAAATCTTAGCTAACAATCTCAAATATCAGATTTTGTTCAGTGTTCCAAAGTAAATATTTGCAGACCTGGCCATGTATTCTGGAAAGGATCTTAGCTCTAGGATGTCCTAGGCTCATCTTCTAACATTGATTCTAGGACATCCTAGCACTAAGATCGTTTTCGAGAATACATGGCCAGGTCTAAGATGGTAATAGACCAAAGCAGACATCAAAAGTTTAAAAAAATACATTTCTACCTGTCAGAAACTTGATCTTCAGGCCATATGAAATTCAATTCATGTAAATTACAGCTATTTTTGTCCGTCTGCCTAAAATATCTTATCTTTTGAAATGTAATTCTTCTTGTATTTTGTAACCTATAAGCCTGTGACTAATTTGTCAACTGAGACATGATGAAGTTTGGCAATTTTTCTTCTGAAATAGTGTAAAGTCAGCATTTAGAGATAAATGTTTGCATGATATAGTGATATTTATACCTCCGAGTGGATTTTCATGGTCCCCACAAAAAACCTGGCCTAGTCTGACCCTTAATTATTTTGGAAACTATATATGATCAAGATAAAGCAAAAGATATTTTAGAAATGTGTACTGACTTCCATGAGTCAGTCACATTTTAGAATCTATAAAACAACTTTATTTTTTCCAATTTTTGTGACTTGTGGCTGCTCACTGGTGACACTTTCAAAAAACCACACCTGAAGTGAGATTTAAATTCAGTGCATGTCAATAATTTATAACCACATAGCAGTGCTTTACACAATTGTTGAATGAGGTGCCATTATTGACAAAAATGCAAATTATTGTCTCTAGCACTGTGGTATCATTGTCATTTTTGACTGTGTCTTCTCTAAAATGTTGATTTTGAATTTTATATTCTTTTGAACTATTTTAAAAGCTTTGTGAAGTAGGATGGTTAATATTGAAAGACAAAGGCTTGTACACTTGACGCTGGTATTTTTTTTTGCGTCACCAGAACAGTTAGATATTCTGTTCAACCCCTCTAACTTGTAGACCTATTATGGAACCTGGATCCAAAGATAGCAAGTAAGCTTTGTTACAGTCTGAGTCAGCGTGTTGGTATGTTTTAAGCCCTACAAAACTAATAATACATTTATAACAAAACACTATAAACTTTATTTGGCACTAGGGGACTACACAATGTGAAAATGAAATAACATAATTGAATAATGAATAAAGGAAGGGTGAAACCATTGATAAATTGTAAACGGATGATCTAAGCAGAAAAGAACATCTCATTAATAAACTAAAATTGAAACACCTACTACTTTGGGGTAGAATAGTAGAATGAAATTATGCTATAAAAGGCAGTCCCAATATATAAAAACAAAATAACTTTAAAAGATATGGTGAGAGGTAGGTGAGGAGGTGGTTAATCAAAGTAGCAGCCTGTAGTCAAGATGGCAGAAGACAAGACTAACCATGTGACTACTTGCGAATGATTAGCAGACAATGCTATTGCCGTGTAAGTTATAAACAGCTTGATGTAACCTTTCTAAGTGAGCAGACACTTTGCTCTGTAAATTATGTTACACAGGGTTCGCACAGCCTTGAAAAACCCTTCAATTCCGTCCGTTGCCTTAAAAAACCTTGATTTCAAAAAAAGTCTTTGAAAACACCATAAAAAAAAAACATTTTCTCTTGAAAAGTCCTTGAATTTTGAGTTGAGTCAAATTGTGTATATTTTTATCATTAACCCCATTGACAAATATTAACTATCTTTATTGATTTCACAGTTCAGAAGTTAGGTACATGTGTATTCTGTCAGACTAATATCCTTGAAAAGTCCTTGAATTTCAAAGCCTAGAGTCCTTGAAAAGTCTTTGCATTTTTGAGGCAAAGTGCTGTATGAACCCTGGTTACAGAGAGATACCTCATTATTGTTTTCGTTAGAAAAAGACTTTCTATCATTATTATTATGTGGTCACTTCTTACTGATAAACTAATGTCATCTAAATTTATGAATTGTCAAGTAATGTAAATGATAAATGTTAACATCGTCTACAAATTTATTCTATCCAGACATACTTCTTGTAAGATGTTAAGGGAACATGGCCACTGACCTCTACTTTGACCTCTACCCTACCAACAATAGTAATGGTCACTTGTCACCAAGTTAATGTTGATATTGTTAACAAGGGAGTGTCCTGATACACATGTTTCTAGTATGCTCAAGCGGGTGACAGACGACCCCTTAAACATGTTTAATACCTTTTACACAAGGACTTTAAATAGCTGCCCTTATGATGTTTAGAAAAAGATTATTGTCTTATCATGTGCAATATAAATATTCAATATTTTTCTGCAGCCTTCATAAGTTTTGCCAAACTCATTTTTTTAGCATTGCCATATGTGACTTTTAGATGATCACTGGAAAGTGTGTCGAACAGATCCAAGAAGATATCACTGCAGCCTAAAATTCTCAATCAAAATATAATTGATGAGCAGCATGAAATTTGAATTGCATTCGTGTTTTAATATTTCTGAAGGTTTTAGTAAAACATTGTAAATTATTATATTACATTTTTTCCAGATAAGCTGTTCACAAAACAGAAGGCCTTACGCTCTGTCCATTTTTTTTCCTTCCTAGGGTGATCTTGGCTACTTTTGACATGTGAACTGATTAAACTAGCTTTTTATCAAACGCGACATGACAGAGTTGTTTGTTTCACAATGTTTCTGCCTAATTACATCCGGTAAAACATGACTGGGGATAGTAAAAAGAAGGTAATTAGGTAAAAGGGCTTGGTGGGAAAGGGGTAATTTGTTAAGGCATCTGCACACAATGCATACAGAGAAAATAATTTTACTCTTTGCTAATCATGTGTGAGATGGTTTTAGGTTAAAAGGGTCAACAATTTTAATTATATGGAAAAAAGTTTGGCAAGGTCATTTAAGGTAAATAATGAATGATTGATGAATGAAGCTGTGTTTATCAATCAAATCTGTACTCTCTATAGCCAGGAGGTAAATAAAAAGTACACAACAAACAACCTGTTGAAGTAAAAAGAAATGAAACAAAAGGTATCATTTGATTGGATAAAAATAAATTATTTTCTAATTATTTTTAAAAAAAACATAAGAAATTAAATGACATTGCAACTTCTCAGGTTATTCAAACAGTATTCCAGTAATTTTACTTTACAATTCAGCCATGATGCCTGTCGAAATAACACTCTTATCTTATTTTGTAAGCAGATTCCCGTTAAAGCATGCAAAATATCTATGAACAGACAAAGTTCTCTTTAAAGGTATAAATAAAAATTAATATAGCATAAATAGATCTATAACCATATTGTAGTAAAAATTTGTAAAATCTTTTCCCATCTCAAGAATTTCACCCTAAGCTTGGACTATTTTTAATATACAAAAAATGTCGAAAGGGGAAAACTGGTTGAGTTATGAATGAAATATTGTAGAAATAAGAAGTGAATTATGGCCACCAAGAGAGAATTCAGTCTCCACTATTATTAACAAATCATAAAGTCTAATCTGTCTTGTTTGACAATAAATCTAATTCACTCAGCCATGATGTATAAAATAATAAGAAGAGATTTTTATCAATCTATATTCTACACCTGTTTTCTCTATTCACTTTTCCAAGATGATTTTCAAATAGATTTGCTCTTTTATTTTATATTATGGCTTAAAATTTGGTAGATTTCCAATTAATTTAGTATAATTTGACCAGATCATTATAGAAGTATTTCATAAAGACATAACTTCGAATTTACTCGAGGTGAAATGAAATTGTGCTGCCAACTTTGGTGTCAGGTATTACTTCTGAATAAATGACTGTGTAGGAAAAGAACCAGATCATGTGATTATCACAAATTTTATTTCAAGTTAAATGAGAGGCCTATCATAACAGCAATATCATAATCTTATAGATTTTTCTGGAATTCGAGAAAAGGGTAATTGAAATGATGCAAGGGGAAGTTTTCGAAAACCATAAGCGCATGCCTTGCCTAAAAAACCTCACTTGAGCCTGTGTCTAAAGTAAGCAGCCGATGAGAGGAACTAGCTGAGCTCAAGAGGTTGGGAGCTCAGCTGTTTCCCCCCAATATGCTGTATTATCTATTATCTATGTTTGATATTTTCTGCCTCAAGATTTTCTTGTAAGACAATAGATCAGACGAGAACTCTCGTGTGCGGTGAAAAAGTAGTGAGAATTTTGCTCAGCTGACAGCCTCTCGAGATAGACAGCTCAGTTCACCTCACCTGCGGCAGGCTTTAAGGAAACATGTAAACTTTAATAGATTGAAATATGCCAAGGTACTAGGTACTGTTGGTCAATGACTCCTGAATCAAACAGTGTAATTTATGTTTATTTACTATATCAATGTGTGATTAGATTCATAATGTTTATTGTTAAGAATAAGTACACCATACTTGTTAAACTATTTATTGTTATTATTACAACTGGTTAGACATTACCACAAAACACATGCTGTACACGTTTCATATTCTTCACTATCCTATTCTTCATCTTTCTTGACCTTTTCATACTTTGATTGAGAAATTAGAGTTTTTTTCCTGACATATTGATTCAGTCACATTGTAATTGGAAAGATAAACTATAATATGTGCAGATGCAGTTCCAAGATGTCTGCCATGATTGTGGTTTTGGTGTATTTGTAATTTAAATTGAAATGAAATAATGTATTTATTTATATTTCTGAAATTCAACTAGAGACTGTTTATTTAGATACGTCTTTGACAACATCCTTTTATTCAGTCTAGTTTTGATTCCTGAAGACAAATTGATTGTAATTGCTTACTATCAATGATCAAATGAGGTAGTGTTTCTAGAAATCAGAATCCTTATCATCTGCATAATCAGCCTCCTTACGTCATCATTGATAATGTATATGTATTCGGACTTGTGAGAATATTTTGAATATGTAATTCTCAAATTTATTTTCTTTATTTCAGAAGAAAGTGCTCTGTTTCCAGTGGTGTTTAATCTGGCAACACGTTCTAGAATAACATCCAATGCTACATGTGGAGAGAATGAACCAGAAGTCTTCTGTAAATTAGTGGAACATGTCCGTATATTCCCTGCCGAGAACCGTCATTGTGATATCTGTGATATAAGAGGTTCCAACAGGAAACAGTCTCATCCTATCACCAATGCAATTGATGGTAGGAACTCCTGGTGGCAGAGCCCAACTATTTCCAATGGACGTCTGATGAACTATGTACAGATTGATCTAGATTTAGGACAGGTAGTAAATTGTATTTTCTTCTTAATTATCATTCTTGCTTACTTTTTACTATTGTAATTATTATTAAGTGAAAAATTGTAAAAAACAAAATTTCTTAAAAGTAATTAGGCAGTACTTTGTGTATGTGTATATTATTATGGTTGGCCAGTATAAGGATAATGTATAAACTGCTGATGTCAGCACTAAATCATTGAATATAAAACATAATAAAACAGTTGGTTAACAATAACAATAAATACTTTATAGTCTGTTTGTAAATTGAGTGAACTTTTATTTAGTCTCTCAGGATATATTCAAACAAAACCAAAACTTCATAAATTCATTTGAATAAAGTTCATTAATACAAAATTGTCTACCTTCAGTTTTACTGTAAATTTTTTATACATAAATCTTCTCAAATTAGGGAAGTATAGCTGAAAGGGAGAACAATCTTAATCTGTTAGCCTTCTGGTCAAGAATTTGTTTTATGTGTGCAATGAAAGTTTGACCACTGACCATTTGAGTTGATCTGCCAGTGAATTACAGGCTACTTAAAACAGGTTTAGGTCTAATTAACAATATCTGAGATGGCTAGGTGTTCTGACCCCTTACTGTTTATCACTGTCTAATCAATCTCTTAGTTCAGCATTATTACTTTCTAATACTGTCTTTTATAGCTTCAACAGGTCTCTTCTGTAGGTACTTAACAGTCAGGATTAAAGTCACACTGTGTCAGAATAAAACTTTACTTATAACCATAAAGAAATTAGAAATGGATGAACTGTGGAGAAAGTTTTTAATTTTACTATAAGGGGTGGAACAGGGTGTCTTTGACACAAGATATCCATTACTATCCATTAAAAAATATTTGAATAAACATGTATTTGACTTATTTCAGTAACTTTATAAATGATGTGTCATATGATATAGTAAGCATAGGTTTGACTTAAAGGGATTGTAAAGAGGGTTTATAAACTTTTTAAGTGAATTGGAGACACTGATAGCACTGTCCCTTTAATTGTTTCAAATTTAATTTGAATTGTTTTGCATAGAAATTGACTTAGTTTTCATCAATCATAATATATACATTAATAAAGCGAATAATATCAAATTAAAAGAATAAAGTTGTGTAATTATTAGCCTTTAATAGCTGATAAGGCTGATTCCAAATGTGGACAAAAATTAGTTCTTCATTTATAAAAATGTGAGATCGATTTAAATAACTTGATAGTGACAAAAGTTTAAACTTCCAACAAATATCAAGGAATTGTATTATAGAAAGTGCTGCAGAGAGTTGAAACTGATCTTTTCAGCTGGTAAAGCAAATCAGGTCAGATTCCTTTGAGGTTTGGTAAAAAACTGTATATTAATTACTTTCGTCAATAAGTACAAAGAGTATATTCCTCGAGACTATATACCTTTAGAATTGATTAATCTGGCATACTGTTGATTTAAGTTATACTTAAAGGGGGGGTATTATTAGATGATATTAGCTGACGTTAACCATTTCCTTTAGAATTTAAAGAGAATCACTGACCTTGAAATCCTTTAATACATTTTCTACATGCCATTAAACTCTTAATTTGACATCTTCTAGTGTCTACTGAATGTTAAGTGAAAATAAGTGCTTTATCAATCAAATTAAGATGATGATTGAAATACATGTTATTTGAAGAAATTGTTTAGAATATTTTAGATGAAATTACAGATTGAAGCTACAAGATGTTAGGGATTGTTTTTGTACAAATTAATTAATTATCAACATTATTTTTGTGGATTAACACAACTAGGCATAATGCCATAGCTCAGTTTGATATCAAATTATATCTTAACAACTTCATTCAGCAATAGACATACATTAAACACATTTTGTTTTTATATATCATTGATATCATACATAAAATCATTAAAAAGACACTGATATTTGTATATTTTTTACTCCACGTTTACTTTCAAAATGACATTTAAGGTAGATTAAGCATGTTTTGTAAAGGAAAATCCTGAGCACCAACTAATAATCTTTTTAGAACAGCATAAGCTTAGTGTTTTGAACAGTAAATACCAGTTGATTCAGCTGTAATTAAAATATAATATGAAGAAGTTTAAATCCCAGTTTTTCTATGGTCATGATAGGACACCATAACTATTGTGAAAGCAACCTACAGAACTAATGATTTAATGGTTAAAAGATCTAAGGTTATCAGACAAGGTTAATGATGTGTATAGCAGCTATTATATTGTGGGAAGATTTAAATACATCTTATTATTAACTCTTAAACACACCTTACCAGGCATTCAATTTCAAAATACATCCTGAAACATGTGCATCCTATTGGAGAAAGTCATTTCGCACAATATTGAGCATTTCAAATCAATGAAAAAACTGGTCACTTGTTGGAAATATTTCCATAGCCCACTATAATAATTGAAAATATTTGAATTTTTTTAGCTGTGAATTGTTATTGAATGATTGAAGGACTTAAAGGGCTTCAGGATGAGAAAGAGAGAAACAATTATATTTTAAAAGGTTCACAGTTAAGATTCCTTTCTACCAGCTGGTCCTTAGCCAAACCTCTTGGCAATGATCTTTTACAGATTATTTGTACCCAATTACAGCTGGGTCGACTGGAATTATGAGTTTAGATGAATTATTCAAGGTCATCAGACTTTCATACTCTGATCGAGTTTAGTTTCTAAATCCCCCATTTGTGTGACGTTTAACCAAGCAAATGACATCATGTTAAGAAAAAAGGCTCTAACTGTGAGCTAATCCTTGTTATTTGCTCATACCATATGAGTGAATGTTCAGAGTAAGCTAAAATTCCAATAAATGTTTAAGGCTAGTATTCTTAAGCAAATAGTTTTATATCATACAAATTTTGCGCCTTTAAGTCAAACATCTGTTATGTGTTTATAATTAAAAGTAGTTATTTTGAGGTTTCATAATTTTTTATTCATAATTTGAAAATGTGAAGCAAATTAAACATTTTCTATCATAAACATACTCTAAGTTATTCAAGTACATTTAATTCAACTCAATACTAATATCAAGTGCTGTAAAATCACACTGTACACATCTTTCTTGCAGCTCTTTATTTTGGACATTTCTGTTTATAATTAATACTTTAACCACTTGAAATGTTCTGAAGGTAGTACTTGTTTTGTCATGATAAATTTTGATGAAAAGTAAAGTTTGAAGTATGAAATTTTCTGTAAAAAAGAATGAAAGGTTTAATGATTAAATTGTCAATACGGGCCATTTCAGCATATATTTCCTATTTCACTCTGTGGACTTATATAGCTGTACATGATTATTGTTTGTTGCAACTTTATCATGTTTTCCAGGAATATTAAATGAGTATGTGAAAGAAAATTCTCATTTTACAAAAAATATTTGTCTTACAAAAATTTTTCAGCAGTTATTTTTGATTGATAAACAATCTGTTTCCAACCTATGCCATCTCCTTCCTTACATATGGGCATTGGGCAGTATCAGAAAAAATTTTCATGGTGAAACTCATAATTTCTGCTTGTTTTAGCACTTCTAATATGCTGAGCTCTGATATTTGACTATATAGATGAGATGCTCTTCAGTTTACTAGAGCATGTTTATCTTTCAATAGTTGATTTTTATGTAACTTAGTGTAAATTTTGTTAAGCATCTATAGAAATTTAGTAGTTTTCCTTGTAAAAATATTTGATTTCTCTGAAACTATCTTAGTACAATGGACCTGTGAACTTTCTAAAGTCAATGTTTTTATATTCAGGTATATCAAGTAGCGTATGTTATAGTTAAAGCAGCTAATGCACCTCGTCCTGGTAACTGGATATTACAGAGATCTGTAGATGGTATCACCTATAAACCATGGCAGTATTTTGCTTTAAGTGATTCAGAATGTCGAGAATTCTATGGTATTCAGCCTACCTCTGGTGTACCCAAATTTTCCAGAGATGATGAAGTCATCTGTACTTCTAGATATTCCAGACTCAATCCTTTGGAAAATGGAGAGGTAACTATGGAAAATCCTTAACAATGATTAATAAAGAAAAATGTTGAGCAATATTTACTCTAAGGCAGGAAAACTCAGTAATATTATGTGATTATGCCATATAGATTTTAAAGTGGAGCTCAAATGTAAGAAAGTTTCTGGACCAGTGGTAAATGAAATGGAAAAATGTGAAACTACTTTTTAATCTTCAAGCAGTCAAGTTACAAACCCAACGCATGAGACACCTTGTGGTCAAATCTGACCCTCACATCAAAATACATTGAAATTTCTTGATAAATACATGTGATGTAAATACAATTTTAAATGTGAAACACTTACTAATCATTCATAAACAGTTTTAGAGTGAAATATATAATCAGTAATTAAGAACGAAAGGAGAATAAATACGATTTAAAATCATTTATCCAGGCTTGTTATTCTAACAATAGTCTTTTTCTGAGTTTATAAATTTGAAATCTCCATGAATTGGAAGTCATTTTTAGTAAAATAATTGTATACATCAAAATTGAAACAAAAACATTAGTTTTCACAATTTGATTTTAAACATGCAATGGTTTAATTCACATTGTTGGTACATTTGACCACCTGGGGTTTCACGTGACCCCATGCTATTTGATATAAGTTATACCTAATTATAGTCATTGCAAACAAATTTTAACTTTAAAACCCATGACTTTTTGCTCAGTCTGCAAATACCTATGGAAAGAAAGAATTAAGGGATCATATTATTATTATATATATTATTCTTCACTAAAATTAGATGTAGCTTGGCTTTTGCATCTCTTATAGTCTGGATTTTCAGCCTCTACAAGCCGTTCATTCGCAATATTTTAATTCTACATATTTTATTTTAGACCACAGCAGTAGTTCTAAATAAAAGACAAATAAACAATCGAATTTCAATTCTAATTTCACTTTTAAATTTTCTTGGTTTTTCACGATTTTCATTGTTCCAGGTAGCATTAATGCCTATATTTATTGATATATAAGAAACCTATGCTGAAATCAATTATAAATGCATGTAAATAAATGACTGATTTGATTTAATGTACATCACTAAAATTCTGATTTTTGATGAATGATATCTCAAGTTAAGTATCAAACTTGCAGCGGTTATACTCATTGATATCGTCTCCATATTTGCTAAAGTGGACTCTCTCTCAAAATATTCACCAAAGTAACATCAATTGTTTTTTAATTTGTTTTAAACCTGACCCCAGACTTCAATTCCAGATTGATCATTCTGATGTGACATTCCAAGACTTTTTAAAAACTAAGTTTTGATTATGGTGAAAACTTGTGACAAAATGGGTACTCGAGGATATCAAAGATATTTTTTTGAAAAAAGAATAAAAAAAAGAATTATGCTCAAACTGAAAAATGGATTCTGGGATATTTTATATTCAGTCCAGTATCTACTTTACCAACCATGTTCACAACAGCACATTCTTCTGAGTTTTCAATATTGTACATAAAAGAAATGCACATTATGAAGAATGTTTGTGCATTAATTTTCAAATCCTAATGATTCTTTTTTGCTATTTCCGCTTTTTAGATTTTTGTATCTTTAATCAATGGAAGACCTGGGGTGAAAGAGCCAACTAAAACATTATTGGTAAGCATTTTCTTTTTTTTTTTTACCTCACTATGCTTATATTTATTTTAAACCTACTCAAGAAATATTGTGGTAATTTATTCTAACATATGTAAGGTATCATGTAAAAATAACATTGCTGATATTACAGTAATAGGTTTGAACATCCTGTTTTAAACCATTACAAACTGTATATACTAGACTAATATTTAACATATATTTATAATTTACTGTGCATTACAGTAAATTTATTAGCATATTTTAACACCTTCTAGTCCTTGTCAAACATTTGGGGCAACTATTGGAAAAGTTGCAGAGAACATAAAGAACAATAGTCTAGGAATATCAATATCAATTTTTAAAAGAGCTGTTTGAAACACTTGTCAATTGGAAGTTAGTGAAAGTCTAGTTTGAATAGGAGTGTCTGGTCATAAGAAGTTTTCTTAGTTCAGATCTATGGTAACTAATCGCTTATATAGTTAAAGATAAGGGCAGCTAAAATATCATGCTTGTATAGGATGGTTCTGGAGCATGGACACCTTTGCTTATCATTTTTCCCTAGTAACTTGCCAAAATAAAATTTACATAATTTTCCCCCGAAAGCATTCCTTATTGAGATCCCAATTTCATTGACTTCATAGCCAGATTTTGATGAATGCGAAAAATGAACTCAGAATTTCATATAAAACTACTTTATTGAGATCAAGTCATCTAATGCATGGGTTGACCCTGGAATAAACGTTTACAATTTCAAAATTAGAGTCTTAACGTTCATGTTAAACACTTCCCAATGTAATGAAGAAACCCTTATTATTATCCAAAATTAGTTCTTTTCACATTCATAATTCTACAGTCAGATCCAATTATCTTTGTTTTGTGAACCATGAAAATACTTGACAATTATCAAAAATAGGTGCACTTAGCTTATTATAGGACAATAGGCAAAATATCTTTGGTATATATATATAGAACTGTATATATTTCAAATGTACACCAACAGATAAATGTATATTTTTATATATATATATATATATGACAGTCTTATAATATTTTGAGGGAATGGAGTAAGCTAGGTATTGACTTGCACAGGTGACAGAAGTCAACCTTACACCTAGTTTCTTGATTAACTAGACTTTAAAAGAATTGTCTTTTTGAAATGAAAGTTTTATACATGGCTTGTCATCAATAAAGACAAAGGTTATGTTTAACTTAAGGGCTCATGTCCATAAAACTGGAGACAGATTTACCTAGTAAGCTTGTTCTTGTTTCCAAATCCATGTTATGTAAATGTATTGTAATTCATATCATTTCATGCAGTAATAAATATTGTTTTAATTGTTTTTCTGTAATTCATGTGAATGTGTATTTAGAATTATTTGATTGTTGACAAATCAAGGATAAGATTTGACAATTGCCAAGAGCTATATTCACAAACAGCTTTAAGTTTTAACTTCTTAAGCTTTATAAACGGAATGCTTCCCTTTGCCACACTGGAAGAGATTGGAGCTATTGTCACGTTGGTATTTATTGGCCAAAATCAAATCAAAAGATGCACTAGTTTATTCTTAATAAACCAAAAGTCTTGCTAAATCATGCAGGCTGAATTCTGACTTCTGGATTTAAGCCATAACTGTTGTTGGTATAGAGATATGTGAACACAACAGGGGCTCAGTTTACATTATTTATTGAGATAAAAGGGTTATTATTTATAATATCTAATTAGCAGCACATTATTTATATCTTAGATCATCCCATTCATAATATGATCAAATTTAAAAAAAATTACAGACAATCTTTTATCTTAGTTTTTACCCCAGCAGGCAAATATGCTGTTATTTTAGTCCAAAACTTGAACTCCAAATATTGCCTCAGAGAAATTTGTTAGAAATTATGTCTGCCAGAAAAGCTAAAATAATAACAAACCTTCCTTTATAGTTTCTGCCTGTCAGCAGTATGGTTTCTGGTCACAAATGCATATATCTGGCAACCATATTTGAATAATTGAGATAATAGTGTCTATGATCAGAAACATATGTTTTTCACAAACTGTATCAAGGTTTAATAATGTTCTAAAGAAATACAAATTATTTGATAAACCATGGACAATCTTGATAATAGGTCGACTCATTTAATCACAATTTATCAAGACATCTTTGCTTTAAAAAGTCCAGTAACTTGTTGGGTTTAAACATTTTTTTATTGATATGCTTATCATTGTTGGAAGGAAATCAAACCTATCATCCCACCCCCAAATACCAACATGGATTTTTAAAGCTACAGAGAAATCTGCATGGTTGGTACAATGAAAGATGACAATGATATGGTTTTGTAGGGTTAAATAGGACAGGACAATGCTGAAAGGTTGTATGTTTTTGCTGAATTATACAAGACAATGTTATGAGATTATAGCTTTTTGTGGGTTACACAAGACAATGCTATCAGGTTGTATGTTTTGTGGGTTACACAAGACATTGCTATCAGGTTGTATGTTTTGTGGGTTACACAGGACATTGCTATCAGGTTGTATGTTTTTGTGGGTTACACAGGACAATGCTATCAGGTTGTATGTTTTTGAGGGTTACACAGGACATTGCTATCAGGTTGTATGTTTTTGTGGGTTATTCTTTAAAGGTGCGGGCACACAAGCGGTCTTGGTCGGAGACTTATGTCGCTGATTAGAGTCTTGTCTTGAGTTTCAACGACTGGCACGGGCACACAAGTAGACAAAAATCTACAGTCAGGCGTTTTTCATCTTGTCGATAACCACGTGTGGATCATGCAATTGAAAGGAAAATGATAATGACAGTCTGTCTTGCAGACGATAAAACTATCGGAGACAATTATCAAACTTGTTTGATATTTATAAATACTGTCTGTAACGCAATAATCTTGTCGTGGAAGCACGGACACAAGCGAGATTTTACTCAAGATTTGAGTCGGAGACAAAAATCTCCGAACAAGACCGTTGGTATGCCCGCACCTTTAGGTTATATGATTGGTGGTTTATAAAGTTTAGAAGGTTGTATTTTTGTGGTTTATAAAGGAAAATGTTGTAAGGTTAGGTTTTTGTAGTTTATTAACGACAGTGTTATAAGGTTAGGTTTTTGTGGTTTAGACAATGTTGTAAATTAGGTTTTTGTGGTTTATAAAGGGCAATGTTATAAGGTTATTAGGTATAAAGACCTGTGATATGTATATTCGTGATCTAACACTCTATTGACATGACAAATAAAAATATCATATACAATACACCCCTAAACACCTTTTATTAATACACTATATATATATGTTAGTAACATCAAAGGGAAGCCTTCAAGAGAAATTTGAAGATTATTGTTAAAGGGAATAGCCTTCAATTTGCCAGAATTTGTTCAAAATGTCATTAACTATTGAGATTAGAGTTTTTAAAAGGCAAATTATAAGATTGTCAAAGATCCTACCATACTCTGAAAAATAAGCTTATTCTATATACAACTTTTAAAAATCAAATTTATCTGTAAGAACTAAAAGCTGAAAATTAAATTGAGATGAAAGAAATACCTTTGAGGCATATTTAAATATGGTTGAAAATGATTTCTTTAAGTTTGTTAATGACCTTTTGGCTTTCCATCTATTGTGCAGTTTTTTCTGGAAAAGGGATTGGTGGACTGAGAATATAAACAAAACAAATCTTGTTATAAAGTGGCATCAGATGAACTCTTATGTAATTTCCATGTATTCGCTTTACTATTTTTGATTTAAAATCATGTGTGATTTTGATTACAGGAATTTACTTCAGCCAGATATATCAGATTGAATCTACAGAAAATCAGAACATTACATGCAGATTTAATGAATTTCAGGAATAATGAGAATCTGACTCATCTTGATCCAACAGTTACCAGGAGGGTCAGTATATTTTTTTCATACACTATATATTTTCCAAAATTTGGGTTATTGGTTGTCTGTATTGTCAATCAGCTTTAAGCTCTATAAGCAGAAATGTAACTTCTCATTATGCTTTGATCTTATTGTCAATAATATTGTTTTGCTATGATGGTTGTTTATATAAGTCATCGATTTTAGGCTTCAGTGTAGGTGTATGTTATACTGCCTAGCAAACTATTAGTTATTGTGGAAGGTAAACAAGCTTAATCTACTATAAAACTACAGATTTTAGCTTGACACTATTTGTTATAGAAAGATATTTTTTTCTTTATCATCAGATATTTTGATCAAATAAACCCTCTGCTACTGTCAATAGGGCTTTTTTGACCTCTTTTTAACAAAATAATGAAAAAAGTTTCAGGTTACATTCCCTTTTGATCTTCTTATTGAAACATTTAATGACTTCAGAGACTTTTCTTCTGGTTTGATCACAAATTTGATATCATTCTAAATCTTGAGTTAGAAATTGTTGGCTATCATTAATCAACTATAGATGTTATATTCAATATGTAAAAGCAAAATTATTATTAAAATGAAATATGTTTCTTGATTGTACACATATATGATAATTGTTTCCTTTGTACTAAGTAATTTTCAAATGATAAAATACAAATTGGAGTATATTAACTATCTAGGATTGAGTATACATGTATTCAGATATGATATGCCCGGTCTCTAACTTGATCCAAGGAAACTTCACATGGCTATGACACATGTTACAGAAAACTTTCAAAATAAAATCAAAGTTAGGAATGGGTATGAGTATGCAAGTTTGGGGCAGTTAAGATGGGATTTGAGAGGTTGATACTGCTTGTTTTGTTTCAAAAGACAATTGTGATTCCTTTTTATGCAGAAAATATAATGACATTCAGCCAAAATGTCAATTTCTTTATGTTTGATAAACAAGTATTGTTAAAGTATTAATCCTGCAGATAAGATCATCTTCCTTGAGTGGCATTTAGTAATTGATGATATTAACACGAACACAATTATATGGATAACAATCATCATTATTTTCCCATTTATATACAATATATTATAATTACAAGTATGTTAGTTGAAAATAAAACTTAGTCCATTAATTTTGTTCAAAATAAGAAGCAATATATATTTTTCTATTTCAGTATTTTTATTCTATAAAAGATATATCCGTTGGTGGTCAATGTATTTGTTATGGTCATGCTAGACTTTGTAGAGCCCAAGGAGCTGACAATGTAAGTTTGTCCCTATATTATGAGTTATCTTGTCACGCAAACATATTTAGCAATGGCAATAAGGATTAAATGTCAATAAATGTTTTGGAAGTTTTTGCACTTTTGTAGTGATTGTAGTAATGGAAGAAAAAATTAATGTGATGTCATGGATGTAAATGACATTGGGTAACTCATGACAACATTGGATATAAGACAAAATCTTGCAGATGGAAAAATCTTGCAAATGGAAAATCAATTGAGCTCTCCAATGCACTTTATATTCAGATTTGATAATGCTTGATGAGAATATGATGATCACATTATGAGACTTGAGTAGAGCATTAAGAGCAGAAGTTTCACTTCCACCATGATGATTAACTAATTCATTGCATTACACTTCAGCATACTTTGTGAATGAAAAATACTGTTGATAAAATATTTGATATTTTTTGTTATAGAATCTACAATGTGAGTGTGAACATAATACATGTGGTAAGAATTGTGAAGTCTGTTGTCCAGGTTTTAATCAGAAGCCATGGGGTCGTGGTGTAAATGGCAATGGTAATGGTTACAAATGTGAAGGTATGTAGATTGTATTGTTTTCAAACCATGAAGACTACATCAATGATAGGTTTGGAATAAAGGAAATAATAATAAGATGTAGAGTATTCAAGCAAAAAATCACAGTAAATAGATAATATTCTTATTGAACTTGACATTAATGAGTTACTTCCCATGTTAGAAAAGCTGGTTTATTAAGTTTACCTTTCTAAGATGAAACCAAATTTGTGTGATATAGTATTAAATTTGAATTTGCTTGTGTTTAACACAATATTTGCCACTGTTCAATCCTTGTCAGGTATAGATCTTATTTACTCATCGACCATACTGAATCTACAACGAGGCTCATAACGCAAACAAACAAGGTAACAGAGTGTCACTGCAATGAAATTGCCACCTTGAAATTTTTAAAAGCGTTTTTCTCCAATCCCACTTACTAAAAACTAATGATATTTATCATCATTAAATTTGAAATTGATTAAGCTCCCTAATGATACTTTCAGATGAATTTTACCTTCAAACATTTCTGAGAATGGGAAGTTTTAAGTCCCTTTACTCCTTGTTGATTAGGTGACATAAAAACGAGGTTTGAATAAGATGTATTGAATACTAAACTCCACTTCCAATTTAGTTCAACTAAAGATTAATTTAATACTATCAAAGTTTAAAGAACATTAGATGAGCTCTCACCAATAAGTAGGCCTATACATATTAGAATTTACTAATTCTCATTAAAAACATGTCTCAATAAAATTTTGCTCTCTACAGTGTTTTCTATTTGTATTTCCAGCCTGTAATTGTCATGGTAAAGCTAGTGAGTGTGTCTATAATGCTACAGTGGACAGTTTAGGATTAAGTTTGAATGAAAGAGGTCAATATGATGGTGGTGGTGTTTGCATCAACTGTCAGGTAAGATTTTCATTTTGATCACTGAAAACCTACTATTTTTTTGTCTAAGATGAAAACTAATATGGAGCATGAATAAGGAAATGTATTAATAAAGCAAAACATTTTGTATGCATGTAGTACACTTAAAGATGATTTCCCTTACTTTCAGTTATGAAAATGAAAATGCGAATATAATACTTATATAAATAGAAAGTAGATGTGTTCTAATGACTTGGAAAAATACAAGTTTGTCTCACTTGTGCGTAATTAATTTATAATTAGCTATTTTAGCAGAATTTTATTGAGTGACCAATCAAGAAAGGTCAAAAAGTCTTTTTTGTTTATCCAGACTGTTTATACATGGACATTTATGATTCGTTAAATATCTTAATTATATACAATAAAAACTAAATGATATGATGTAGAATAATGATAAATCATTAGAAACACCAATTAATCAAATAGATTGCTTAATTTACCACTAAAAATTAAAAAAAAAACAATCATAAACTGGTCAATGGGAATAGTAAATTCTGAAAGATGATTTTTGTCTTGATCTTGATTGTAGAGTAACACAGGGGGAGTCAACTGTGAAACTTGTATTGAAGGATATTTTCGACCCATGGGTGTACCTGCCACTGCACCAAAACCTTGCAGACGTTGTAGCTGTCGAGAAACAAGAACATCTACTTCTAGATGTGTGACAGATGATAGTCGCATATCAGAAGGCCTGGTGGGTTATTTGTTTTTAAATCAGTTTCCCTTCTTTCACATGAATGACATTTGGTGTTGTAGATTTGGCAAGATGATCAGTTAGTTGAACAGAGCAGACAGTATGTAAGCAAACAAGCAAGTTTTTATCAAACTATCATCAACAATGTCATTGATGACTTTCTATCAAATTTTCTTATGCCTGTCACTCAATGAATATAGAAAATATTTAAAATGAAGAATGTTACTTTCAGAAACCAGGTGACTGTATATGTAAACCTGGATTTGGTGGTGTAAGATGTGAGCAGTGTCAATTTGGTTTTTATGGTTACCCCAATTGTAAGCCATGTCCGTGTAATCCAGCTGGTAGTGCTAATCCTGCCATCTGTGACAGGAGATGTGTTTGTAAGGTGTGTAGACAACTTGGCATTATAAGAGAATGAACATTTTAGCAGAATCGGAATGTGGTCATATGCCATTAAAATGTCTTTATTTTGTAAATGCATTAGGCTATTTGAATGGTAATAGTTTTGAGATATGAAATTTTATTTTGCAGGAAAATGTAGAGGGTCGACAATGTGACAGATGTAGACCAGGATATTATAATTTAGATAGAAACAATCCTGAGGGTTGTACCAAATGTTTCTGTTTTGGGGTGACAACATCTTGTGGTAGCTCAGATTGGGGAATATCACAGGTAAGAATAGAGTTTCATTACTATTTATGGATCTTTCAAGTTATTTTGATATTAACTCATGACCATAATGTTATTGATAAGTAACTGCAGCAGACATGGGAAAACGACTATATCTCTGTTTTTTATATAGTACTTTTTGCAAAATGGCCCCAAAATGCCTGGCAATGATGTTGATGTTGGCATGTATTTGTTATTGCCACATGTTTTCCTTTGACAAACATTTTTGATGATATAATAGGTATCTGTAATGTCCTAATGAGTGGTTCAGGATGAGTTTGAAGAACCTACATAATGCTTCTTCATTCTAGGTGACAGAAATGAATGGTTGGGTATTGTCAACAAGAATGGCTGATGGTCTAACTCTGTTACCTCGATCATTTAATGGCTGGTTAGAGGCAAAGACCTATATCCTGACAGGAAGTGATGTTGAAGGTACTGGAAGCTGGCCTGTCACTCAAACTGATATTCATTACTGGGTGGCACCTATGGTCTTTACTGGAAACAGAGTAAGTTATAACATCAATTATATACATTCTTTTAGTCCTATCCATACTCCTTGATTTTCTCTTTTGCCTGTGTTCTTGGGTTCTTACATGTATATATATAGGGTCTGTCTGTAGGAATTCCTAATATAAACCACACCAAAGTAGCAGAAGATTGAATATTGAATCTGTTATGCATAATATTAGAAAATCTTATCCAAGTTTCTGTATACAAGAGTGATTTACTTGTTGCTTTATGTTGGTGGAATTAGTTGGTTCAATATCTTTATATGAGTTGTGAAATTTTTTGTAAACAGAATTGTTCTTTATCTTTCATATTTTCAATACAAATATTATGTTTTCAGTTGTCATCTTATGGTGGAATGTTAAAGTTCACTATAAAGTATATCTTAGATTCTAATATTGACAAGAGGTATCATCTCAGTGAGCCAGATGTTATTATTGAGGTATGTCTATCATTAAACATGCTCTTCTGTTTTAATTTACTTTCAAAGAGCTGAAATTTAACCTTATCAGCTGGTAAATTATAGTTTAGTTTTGTGGTTTAAAAACAGCCAATTCTCAATCCACCACACATTTAATTTTGTAAGTGATCATGATAAACAAATGCTATTTTTATTCTACTGCAAAATATACTATAGTCTACTATCTAGTGTTTAGAGTGAGATGAAAATGGTGAGGCACTGGTCTAGATCACAAAGTAAGATCACAAGGAGTTTAGTTGATTAGTGTAAAAATAGTTAGTGTTATAGGATAGACAAATCTAGTTGTTCCTTTGTCCAAGATAGTTGGTGTACATATTTGTGATATTTTAGGGAGGAGGTATGATGATAACAAATGGACAGAAATATCTGAGAGAAGAAATAGAAAATAGAGTTGGTATTGTTCTTCATGAATCAGAATGGAGGAAACTTATCACCGTGGACAACAGACTGACAGAAGTTCCTTTAACCAAGGGAGACATGATGAGAGTCTTACAAAGCATTATGAGAGTTATGATTAGAGCTACTTATCATACAGCTCAGGATACTGTCTAGTAAGTAACATTTTGTTTCTTTGAGTTTAAGACACTGTTTGTTATGTATGGTTGGAGTCGGAGATACCTATAGTAGCAAACAATGATACATCTGACCAGAGCTACTTATCATATTGCTCAAAATAAATCTTAATCTACTGTTTAGTACTGTCTTGTTTGTATGATCAGTAATAACTTTCATACAGTATAGTTTTGTCTTGTTAGTATGATCCCAGTTACATATCTGGCTTAAGATACAGTTTACAGACTCATGTACAGTGTGTAGTACATATTATTCAGCACAAGATAAAAGGTTGTGTTTTTTATGGTTGTTTTTTGTTATGATATTTTGTTATTGATTATATATTTTTTTCAGTTTGAGAGATGTGTCATTAGATGTAGTTAGTCCATCATCACGAAGTCCAATGACTCTAAAGTCTGTAGAGAAATGTAATTGTCCACCAGGTTATGCTGGATTATCTTGTGAGGTAATGTCCTACTTGACCTAATTGAAGCCCATATCTGCCAATAACTCCTAATTGTTGTCGGCCTGTTGTGCACCAACACATACTTGCAATTTTTTTTAAAATAATCTGGCCTTTGGGCACAAGATTTTTATGTCACCATTTATGTATCACAAAACTTAAAACTAAATCAGTATTTCTCACAGATATCTGAGATGTTCTAGTTTGTTTCATGGTGGATAGCATTAACAGTAATTGAGCATGATTTAAGAAATGCTTTTTAAAGAGTACTAGCTTGCATCATAGTTTTGCTGTCATATTTGCTGCTACTCTAGCTGCACATATTTGATGATTTGTATCTTAATTATGTCTTTTACAATTATTAAGAGTTGTTCCCCTGGATGGAGAAGACAGAATGGTACTCTGTATAATGGTGTATGTTTACAGTGTAATTGTAACAGACATTCTAGTGATTGTGATACAGCTACTGGAACCTGTATGGTATGTGCACATTTATATCTATATTATATCTGTATTCATACAGTATTAGTCTTTCAAGGTTATCAATGGAACAATTCTCAGGGATGAACTGTTAGTTGTTGTTATATATGGCTAAATGAGCTCAAAGTATCTGCACATTTACATTGTGCATTTTAACATTTTTTTAGACCAAAATATTTCTGACTTTCAGAATTGTCAACACAACACTACAGGTCCTAATTGTGATAGATGTATTGATGGTTTCTATGGTGATCCAAGACGCGGTTCCCAAGATGATTGTCAACCATGTGCCTGTCCATTACTCAATCAACAGAACAATTTTGCTGATCAATGTGTGTACAGTCCAACTTTAGAGAATCGTTTTGATTATCAGTGTTTAAGATGTAGAGAAGGTCACACTGGTAAACATTGTGAACAGTAAGCACTGATGTTTCTTGCTTGATACATTGATACATACAAAAGACCATCCACAAAAAACATAAAGTTTAGAAGTAACCCTTGAAAATGATTAAATGTCTTTCTCATTTTTAAGGACTATGTAGGCCTAATGGTCTGTTACTTTGGATCCAAATTCTTCTTTCAGATGTGCAGCTGGTTACTATGGTAACCCTATGATGAGAGGTGGTTATTGTAAACCATGTAGTTGTAGTGGTAATATAGATGTTCTAGAGCCAGGAAGCTGTAATAGTATAACTGGAGAGTGTCAGAGATGTCGGAATAATGCTGAAGGAGAAAAATGTGACAGATGTAAACCAGGATATTATGGAGTAGCTCTGGAAGGTGGTTGTACAGGTAACATCATTTACTAGTAACAATAGATAAAATGTCAAAGAAGAGATTGTATCTCAGGCACTATGAAATATATTTTCTTCGGTGTGTCCCAAAATTGGAACTGTAACCACTACAAGAAAAAAGACGTATACTGATCAGAATTGATATCTGAAATGTGTGTTGCAGTTGATGATTGCACAAATTTTAGAACACAAATTAATGTACCATGCACAGGATACAAATCTATGAACTTATTAAAAAGAGTGAAATAGTGAACGAAGTATAATGTGATTATGTGATGTAATGTATGAATAATTGTTTTTTCAGCCTGTAATTGTTATATAAATGGATCCTATAGTGAGAATTGTAGAAGCAATGGAGAATGTTCTTGTAGGCCAAGATACACTGGTAAACAGTGTGATAGATGTCAGGTAAATAATTTGGTGAAACTGTAGAAACCATGTGATACAGCATGGTGTCAAAGTTGCTTTTTGTAACAGAAATGGTGTTGTCTATACATGTTATTTTGATCTTTTCAGTCAGGTTATGGTGATATTAAGAATGGTTGTAGTAGATGTCGATGTAACCGTATTGGTTCTGTCAATACACCATGTGATAATGTATCAGGACAATGTCGATGTCATAATGGAGTAACTGGGTTGAAATGTGATCGATGTAAAGATGGATTCTACCGATTGACTTATGAAGGATGTACAGGTATTTACTTAGCAATTGTGATGTATGTTTTCTTTTAGCTTTTTGTTGTTGAATGTAGCATTTGCATTTATAGTGCTTCACAGTTTTTGAAATTGCCAAATTGTTATGAAAAATCAAAGCTTTTTTGTATTTTAAAGTTTAATCTTGTTTTACAGATTGTGAGTGCTACAGAAGAGGTACCTATAATAACAGTGGTAGATGTCATTCTATGTCAGGACAATGTAATTGTTTACCCAATGTACAAGGAAGAAAATGTGACTCCTGTCCAGTAAGTTGAACATACTCTTTTAAAAAAAGAATAATCCATATTGCCAATCTGTAATAAAGGTTGCACTTGATATGGATAATGTTTGACAAATTTTATTTTTGAAGGTTTTCTAGGCCATTTTTCATGAATTTCAGACTGGATATTGGGGTTTGGACTTTAATGAAGGTTGTAAAAGATGTGAATGTAATAATGTAGGAGCTATCAATGCTCAATGTGATGTTAGAAATGGACAGTGTACCTGTCGTAATGGTGTTGGTGATAGACAATGTGACAGATGTCTACCTGGTTACTATGGTTTCCATTATGATGGCTGTAAAGGTAGGTTCCAAAAATCAGCAGTGTTTTTTAGAGTAATAGATATAAGAGAAAATGGTGAAGAGCTGATATAATGTTGATGCCGACTCTGAGATATGCTGTTTTGTAACTCGCAATCCAAAAATATTGCTCCTACTCATACACATGACAAAAAATAATAACTTTTTCTGGAAAGTACTTTAATATGGGTAATTGAAATTATTAACCATTCAATTATTATTCTATTCTCTAGTTTGTGAACCTTGTAATAAAGAAGGTCATATTTGTGATCAGCAGACAGGCAAGTGTGTCTGCCCACCCAATATGTCAGGTCCTAAATGTGAGAAATGTGATGATAACAATTGGGGAATAGATAATATCACTGGATGTAAGGTAGGTAGACTTTTTGCACACAATTTCTCATTTTTATATTTGCAAATTTAGATTTAGAATATGAGCATTATAGTTTTTAATTTTTATCATTTAATGCATTATGGCATGTTTTTTTCAATTGCATCTCTCGTCTTCAATTATACATACATTCTATTTGTACTTGTTTTCCTAAGATTTGCTACATTTCTGATTGGCTATGAGTTTAAAAGATGTTTTGGTTACTATCTGTAAATGTATGAAATATTCTTTTGGTTATGGTATGGTGGATGGAAACATTGTTTATTTTCACTTTGTTTTAGATCATGCACCATCAAAATGCACCATTACTTTGCACTTGCACTTAGATTTAACAATTTATGTGTTTTGTTATTTGTCAACATAGTGTAGAATTGATATTTTGTGTATACAGGTTGTTGCCTGTTTGTTTTTAGCATAATTGTATATTAAGGAGCATGCCAAATGTAAAGAGAAATGTCCTCAAAAAAGTCCTTTAAATTATTACATATATTTTCTCACTATTCTGGTTGTATTGCGATTACATGTATATCACTTTTCCAGACCATACCATGCATCAGACTTTCATTCAGAATCTAAATATAATGATACAATTACCTCATGTAAAAGTGAGTTATCTCAGGATCATAATCATAACATTGACGGAATTTTTTTCTCATGCTCTTTAATAAATTTTTGTTTTAACATTTTTTGTCTCTGATTATTGATTTAGTCATTATTTAAAGGGGAAGATTTGATCTCATATCATTGCTAAAGTGAAGCTAAAGAATAAAAGACATAGCCAATTAGGAGTTATTTTGTGGTCAAAAGTAGACTCCTCTGAATCAGATTTGAATTTTTTTATTTGTTAGCTAGTTTGACCCCTTTGAAAATTAAATTAATAATCAGGTACAAGTAGACCTAACATATTTGTTGTTTCTTAGAATCATTAACTGTTTTCAGCCATGCAACTGTAACACTTTAGGCGCTCGAAGACAGCAATGCAATAGGCGTACTGGACAATGCAAGTGTCGAAAAGACTTCACTGGTATTCAATGCGATCAATGTCAAGTTGGTCACTTCAATTTTCCAGTATGCGATGCTTGTAATTGTAACATTAATGGCACAATGTCAGACACTTGCAATGACTTGTCAAGTTGTGAGTGTGATAAACGTGGTCAATGCCAGTGTAAGGTAGGAATGTGTTATGTGTTTGTCATGCTTTGTCTTTGTTATGTGTTCGTTATAACTAGAGAATCAAATGCACCTAGAATATTAACTTAGTACATGTAGGTGTAGATTTTCATTTTTCTTTGTACATAATGTAGAATGTGTCCTATCATTGTTCTTGTCACTTTATATGAGCTTTATGCCTAAGATTTATTTTGAAAATAGCTTAGCCTACTTGCATTATGTTATTTGCTTTATCTGCTGTTATTTACACATATCATGGCTGTTTTCTTTTTCTCTGTTGAGCAACAGAATTAAAAAATGGTTTGCATACATCTTATAATGTATTAGCTCCATGGATATATCATTAATGAAATAAAATAATCTTCAAAAACTGTTTTGTCTTTAGAAATTCACAGGTTTGTATGTAAAATTTCAATGAGGCTAAATGTGTAGATAAATATGTCTTGGACAAATAAGTCACTTATAAAATCTTCTGAAATTCCAAAATCATGATAAAAATTTTCCTTTTAATTTTTTTATGTTTGAATTTTGTGATATAAAGTAAAATAGATCTGCATTTGCCCCATTTTGAAGTTTTAAGGTATTCCTTATTTATGTTTTTTAAGGTGGCAGAATCACTTTTAAGCACATAATAATTGGGCATTGGGTTTCATTTTTTTTTCACATAATTCACTTATTGCACTTAATGCACAGGTTTTAAGGAATTCTTTGGTTATGGCTTATTTTAAGTATCTAGTTTGTGTATTTGTAACAAATTGCTATATTTCAACCATTTTCAGAGGAATGTAGAAGGGCAAAGATGTACAGATTGTAAGAGAAATACGTTTGGTTTTGATTCAACCAATCCATATGGTTGTACAGAATGTTTCTGTTTTGGTAAAAGTCAGACTTGTCGTCAAGCACCATATGTGTGGACAACGGTAAGCCTGGCAATCACATATATTGGAAATGTTTAATGGTGAAACCTTAAAACAACCCTACTATGTAGTTTATGTATAGAAACAAAGTATTAAGGAAGGCTTAAATGATAAATCAAGCATAGAATATTGTAGGGCAGGTAACAGAAATATAGCATCATTTTAGATATTCACTTATTATTGTAGGTGTCACTACCAGTTCAGAGAGTAAGCATCAGCCAATCTGCATCCGAAGAGGTACAGTATCGTCATGGATACCCTGTGATAAGGACTGGTGTAACAAGAATAAGAGTTCCACCACAGTCTGTCAATGAGATGTTGTATTGGAGTTTACCATCTGAAATGTTGGGAGATAAGGTATGATGATCAACTCATTAGATGTCTTGTCTTAAATTATAAGGACTCTACTTACATTGAAGACCATGCTTTGAAATTGGTACTATGCATGCATGAGCTCCTGCTAAAAGAACTACTGTTTCTTATCAAAGGACATGATTGTAATTTAAATACGTCTTGTAGATATATTCGTTTTAGGAATGATGAATTTTGCCGCAAGGTGTGGTAAACAGTTGTCTATACTTTAGCTCTGGAGAGTTTAGCCAACTTTTAATATTTCAGACTAGATCCTACAATGGTAAATTGGACATCATTCATTATTTTGAAACAGCCAATCCTGATGAGATTGATTTTAGACTGATGCCATCTGTAGTGATCATGATGGGAAATGGTTTCCAGATCTACTATCATGATAATGTTACCCTAGAATCATCAAATCCACAAGGTTTCTCTATAAGACTACATGAGGTAGGCTATGCTTTCATCTTATTCTGTAATTATGCAATAGATGTCCACAATTTAAAGACTACTTGAAGTGTTGGAGTCATTTGATTGGTCAGCCTAGTTTAGATTAGTTTATTGCAATTGTTAAAATCCTGATATTATCTTAGTCTAAGATAAGATATTTTAGAAACTGGTACACAACGACGAACAGAATTTTGTTCAACAAACAGCAAGCAAAATTTCCTTACATTTCTGATTAGTATGTTTTATTATTAGTACTTTTTGAACCACCACATTTCAGCCTAACTGTCCAACATTTTATGAATTGAATACATCTGCACTTTGGCGATGAGTTAAAGCAAGCAGTACACCCATTTAAAGATACTTCTTATTCTTGTAGTATTATTGGCGCCACTCTAGTTCTATCTATCCTATAAGTAGAGCACTGCTAATGGTAGTGTTACAGAATGTGGAAGCTATCTTAATTCCAGCAACTAATGATGGTAGAGCGATATATGCAGAGTAAGTGAAGAGAGTCTTTTAAAAAAATTCCCAACCTTTCACCTTGCTACACTGGATCTCAAGAATTGTCCTGACCGTGTAGCAAAGGTTGAAGCATCAGAAATTTCTCTCTTGTAAAGGTTAAACTTTGTCATCTAAGAGTAGCAGACAAAATACCAATAACAAGTCATTGTCTTGAAGATTACCCCAACTGCTAACAACTGAGCTATACCACAGCTAATGGTTGATCTGGGACCTCTCAGAGGTTAAAGAGAAGTCTTAAAATTCAATGAACAAGGGTGGTCAATTTTGTGGGAGATGTCTAGACATTGTTTAACTATATGTATCATTGTAAGTATGTCTAATTTGTAAATCATGAATAAATGTCAAACCTCTCATCAAGAGAGTCCTTGAATTTGAAAGATTTGATGTTTCATATCCTATTGTAGACTTGGTCCTATTGGTCTACAATTAGCTCAACCAGTACGTGGTGTAGATATTACAGATAGAGCATTAGGTGTAGAAATCTGCCAGTGTCCTGAAGAATATTCTGGTGATTCTTGCCAGGTAGGAAGCTTTCTCTTCCTTGGATAAGAGAATGATAGGAATCGCATGGCTAACTCTCAAATGCTCTGACCAGCTTATTGATAATGGCAGTTATCTAGCATATCTTTAAAAAAGTTTCTCTGTCGCTGGACAACTGAAATAAATGTTGATGAATATAAGCAGGTAATTGTGATTTTTTGTGCTCTAGTAATTTCGTATTTTGATATTTTGATTCAGATTGGGTACACAAACTACTATACACCATTGTTGCCATCTGAAATTGTCAAATTTATTTTGACATTTGTGTAATTATTTCTACAGAATCCTGGAGATGGGTATTATCGTGAGAAACAGAATGGTACCATTGGTAACCCTATTATTACTATAGGTATTAGTAGACCATGTCAATGTTATGGTCATAGTGATAAATGTGATAGTGAAACTGGACAATGTACTGTAAGTAAATCTGGAAATATTTTCGACTCTCTGAATTTATTGACACTGTATAAAAGTGGGATAGACAAACATGATTTAAGTCCATTTGTAGAAAAAACAGGTGGTGGTGTAATTTTTAGCATCTTTGAGAGAAATGTGTTTTTTTTTATTTCCAATTAATGAATTGAAATATACTTTGTGTTTCAATCATTCATTTCAGAACTGTGTGCATAACACAACAGGAAAGCATTGTGATAACTGTGCACCAGGATATTATGGTGTAGCTACTCGAGGTTCACCATGGGATTGTGCTCCATGTGCTTGTCCATTAATAGATCGAAGTAACAAGTAAGCAATTTTACTTTTTCAAATCTATTGGATTTAATTGAATTTTTGGCCTGTTTATCTGGATAATGAGTTTTCTTTGATGTCAATGGAGTATTTTGTACATATATAAAAAGACAAACTAGCTTTGCGTTTTGATACTGAACATATTTTTAAGAGCTCTCAATGGAGAATGCTTAATATAAACTAAATTTTTGTATTCTAGTTTTAGTCCAACATGTCTGAATAGAGGTGGTAAATTAGTATGTACTAACTGTACTGATGGTTATGAAGGTGAAAGATGTGAAAGGTAATTTGACTTTCTACCTCTACTTTAAACAAATCTTGATTTTGATTGTTGCTGTCCTGTCTGACCACAAACTGATTATGATTGATTTTTTGAATGTTTTTTCTGCATTTTCAAGATATTTTTGGTTCATTTTGAAATTTTTGGTTCATGTTTTCAGATGTTCAGCTGGTTACTATGGCAACCCATCTATAGTTGGTAAAATCTGCCAACAGTGTAATTGTAATCCAGAGGGTTCAGTGTCGCCAGAATGTGATTTGATAACTGGGCGTTGTTTATGTTTACCAGGAATAGAAGGTGATAAATGTAACCAATGTCAACCAGGTTCTGCTGTACAAAATGGAACCTGTACATGTAAGTAGAAAGTTTGTCTGATTCTTTCTATGATGTTTACTATGATCAGTATTTAAGAATTTTTATAGTTGTGATATTAACCAATAGTATTCTATTGCATGAGTAATTCAGGAAATGGGATGGAATGGAAGTTGCTCCCCAAAAAGGCTAAATATTATAGGGAATTCATGTCAGAAGGAATTTATTTTAAAATGAGTGCACCATTGTTCAGTCTGATCAGGCTGATGAGATTTAAATTGTCAGAAATGCTTTGCATCTTTCTTTGAATGTTTCTGTGTCTTTTTCAGCATGTTATGGAGGATGTACTGGTATTCTATTAATTGATTTACAAGAGTTGGATGCTCAATTTGGTGGTAAAAACTTTACTGTACCATTGCCATGGAAAACATTATACAAGATTGAAAATGATACAAAAATGTATAGAGTAAGTGGCATGGCATAATGACCAAATTTTGTTTCATCAATCATGACTTATATTACTTCCTAATGAAATTTAACAACATTTGCTAATTAAAAAGGTTTAAAATAATTATGATCATAGTAATGCAGTTTTCACAAACTATGATTATATGAGATTTGTATTTTAGAGGTGCAATATTTTAGTCTTGAGCAGTGTCTATATAATCTAATTTTATTTGTGAATGTGTTTATATGCCATATATGGTATTATATATTTTAGGAACTATTGAATGCAGCCAGCTTTCAGAGTGGATCAAAATTTCCACAGTTTGAAAATGGTACTAAATTTTTAGAGGAAATAGCAATAAGACTAATGAATAGGGTAAGATATTTTTCATTCATCTCCTGCTTTTCTGCTTTCAGGCTTGTTGTCATGAAAGTCTCAAAAAGCATGTCTATGCGAGTGTATCTGATTCTGACCTACTTTTAAATGACTGTTTTCATCAGGAGCAAAACTTAAAACAATTAAATTCTATTGGACTCTCTGACTGGAGAAATAAGCTCAAAACATAAACATTAAGTTTGATTGTTTTATAGGTTGAATATGTTGAACAAAAATCATTGGAGACAGCTGAAGAAGTTGATGGTATCTCTAAAGATGCTGCAGACTTGGAACAATTCATCAAAGAAATGTTCAGAAATATCAGAGGTGAGATTCCTTACTGTAATTTCGAGTGGAGAAGTTAATGGAGGGCTAATGTAAATAACCTTAATTTCCAGTTTATCAAATACTGCTATATACACTGCTTATTTCTTAGATAAAAACGAATTTCAATGGTGATCATAGCAGGTTTTCAATCAGGTTTTCCTAAAGGACAGCGGGATAAAGAACGATTATATATTCCTCATTGATATACATTGTATATTCTAGATGATGCAGAGAAACTGGAAGATTTGGTTAAGAAGTTGATCTATGAACAAGCTGGTTTAGATGTGTCTGCAGCGTTGGATGAAGCTAAGAGAATCATCAGAAAAATAGAAAGAAGAGATTTTACTCAAGATGATGAAAAATCTAAGGATGAGAAATGGTAATGTAAATTTAAAGATTTTTTATACCAAGCCGAATTCAGTTACAGTAATCATAAAAAATTAACATCTGTCACCTCTCACAAACTAAGAATCATGTTTGAAAATGTTCAGTCACATCTTTACTAGTCATGATGTCTAAATCCAGCTTCAAAATATTCAGTTGTGTCTTTAGCTTATCATAATATTTGAATCATTCTTGAAAATATTCAGTTGTGATGTCTGAATCATGTTTAAAGATGTCATGCCCATGCTAATCATGCTGTCTGAATCATGCCTAAAAATGATCATGCATGTCTTTTCTAGTCATGATGTCTGAATCTTAATTAAATTTGTTCAGTTGTGTCTTTTCTAGTCATGATGTCTGAAGCATGCTTAGAATTGTCCACTTGTGTCTTTGCAAGTCATGATGTCTGAAGCATGCGTAAAAATGATCATGCATGTCTTTTCTAGTCATGATGTCTGAATCTTAATTAAATTTGTTCAGCAGTGTCTTTGCTAGTCAAGATGTCTGAATCATGTTTCAAAATCCTTTTCTAGTTTTTAATTCTGAGCTTTGAAATTATGTGTTGTGGGAAATTGCCAAAATTCAAAGTTCCTAAAAGTCACTTTTAAGAATATTCTTATTTTCCATATTTTTGTAGGCAAGCTCGAAAACTATATGAACGGGTCAAAGATCTAGATGAAATGAATTTTAATGGAAGTAAAGTTGATGAAAAGATTAAAGATATAGTAAGAAGACTAGAAGATTTAAAAGAGAGAAGTAAGGAGGCTCGGGAAAAGGCTAAAAGAGTCATTGATGAGGAATCCAGTAAACTTGCTAATCAGATAGCTTCCCTCGAGGTTGGTACTCTCAGTTTTAGAATTTAGGATTCAACATCTAGATATGCTAAAGATAATGCTGCTCTGATAATGTTATATAACATTTTAGTAACATACATATATATATATATGCTATGTAACATAATTATTATTTCAGGATAAGATCAATGATGCTAAAGATTATAGAGATGATGCTGATCTGATGGTGGATGATGCTATATGACATTATTATTATTTCAGGATAAGATCAATGATGCTAAAGATTATAGAGATGATGCTGATCTGATGGTGGATGATGCTATATGACATTATTATTATTTCAGGATAAGATCAATGATGCTAAAGATTATAGAGATGATGCTGATCTGATGGTGGATGATGCCATATGACATTATTATTATTTCAGGATAAGATCAATGATGCTAAAGATTATAGAGATGATGCTGATCTGATGGTGGATGATGCTATATGACATTATTATTATTTCAGGATAAGATCAATGATGCTAAAGATTATAGAGATGATGCTGATCTGATGGTGGATGATGCTATATGACATTATTATTATTTCAGGATAAGATCAATGATGCTAAAGATTATAGAGATGATGCTGCTCTGATGGTGGATGATGCTATATGACATTATTATTATTTCAGGATAAGATCAATGATGCTAAAGATTATAGAGATGATGCTGATCTGATGGTGGATGATGCTATATGACATTATTATTATTTCAGGATAAGATCAATGATGCTAAAGATTATAGAGATGATGCTGATCTGATGGTGGATGATGCTATATGACATTATTATTATTTCAGGATAAGATCAATGATGCTAAAGATTATAGAGATGATGCTGCTCTGATGGTGGATGATGCTAATTATTATATAAAAGAAGCTCGAGATCATTTGGATAGGTTGAAAGAAAACTATATTGTAAGTCCTCTTTTCTCTTCTGATATGTCTGAATCAAATAAGTCTAAGTTGATATATTTGTTCCATGTTTCAGTATTCTTCTTTGGCATTTTGATGATACTGCTGGATTAAACCAAAACTATGTTGAAAGCAAGGAGGACATGCCCCTCCATAAAATATCATGCCAATCTGCAGGTTAAATAAAAAGTAATGTTTGTTTAGTTTTTAGTAAAGAAACATATTCTGATATGCATTTAGATGACAGGAAAAGAAGCAGACATATTTGGTTTCCATTGGAGTGTCATCGGAATCCCAAGAGCACAAACAATGGTTACCATCATTTATTTTCAGGCTTTAGAAAGGAAAGAATCATCATTAGATATGGTTTTGAATATATTGGATTCTACTTATTATGATCTACGTCAAAATCTCAACATGGCAGAAGATAGTGTGAGAAAAGCTTGGCAGAAAGCAAGAGAGCTAGATAAACAAGCTCAAGATTTAGATAGGTAGGTGTACTAATTCTCCTCTCAGTCTTATATAAGATTAAACAGAGCTGAACAGAATTGCATAACACAGTGGATTAAAATTATCAAATATGTTGAATTGATTTAAACTTCACATTAACTCTTATATTATTATCTAGATTATTTTCAAAGACAAGGGCAGATGCTGAGCTTCCGTTGAGAGCTGCCAAAGTTTATCAAAATATAGTGGATGCTATTAAGTTGGCTGAAAATGCTTCAAGAAATGCTCTAAAGGCTGCAAGAGATACTGCTAATATTGTAAGTTCTTGCATGTTAAAAGGCACTGGGAAAATTCAAATTTTCTGATGAAAATATATCACTGTGGTCTAATATTCTTTTCTTGTTTGGTTTTCTCCCTTATTCGCAGAGCATTGTGGGAAGTCAGTCTTTAGGAGAAAGACTTATTTGCGTTATTTTATTCGATTGTGAATCTTAATTTTTAAGATAATTGAACACAAAAACCTACCCAATACCTTCCCTTTTATCATGTACAATATTTCGAATTATTTGTAAAATGGCGGTTTGTTACCCCATCTTACATAATGATATTTTAGTTAGCTTTATAATGTCAATAGTTCGATTTATTTTGTACTTATGTAAGGTATTATTCCTTAATTCTTGTTAAACTTATTTTGATTTTTGTCTACTGACCTGTTCCATATTAGATTGATTAGGCTATGTCACTTCACAAGTAACTGAATATTAAATAGCTATGATGATTATGTCTCAGAAGTTAGGATTAAAGTTTCATTTCTTGTTACACAAATAGAATAAGAATGTGTGTCAGTGATTCCAAATTTATCATATATAGTAGAAATCAAAAAAACATAAGAGGCAGCAAATGTTTTGCCCTTTGATTTTCGACTATTGGACAAAAATGTGCATATCATACAAGTTGATTTACCTGAGGTGTAAATTTGTTTGTAGGCCAATATTGATGGATTAAGGAATGATGTTAGAGAATCTAAAGAGAAAAGTCAAAGATTATTGGACACAGCTAGAATGTTACAAACTAGAGGTCAGTATGTTGCACTTGTTAGTTCATATAGAATTTTAATATTCCCTAGAAAATCATGACTTGTAATGTTTACTGTAACAAGTCAAATTTTGGTGCTAGCTTATCATCAAAGTTGAATTTGTATCTTTTGATCTCTCAATTTGTTTCCATGACAAGCTGCTGATATAGTTAAAGTCATATGTACAAATTTCACAGATGCTGAAGAAGATGCATAAAAGGAAGGCATAAGATCTTGTATTAATAATGTATGTGTTTTATTACTATATGTACTATTTGAGGTAGTTATTTATTGAATTAATAATAGTGTTGTTGTTATGTTGATGTTATTGTAGGTTTAGAAGATGGTTTACTATATGTACAATCTGATCTAAAAGATCTAATGATGAAACAACAATCTAATAGAGATATGTTAAATATGATTAATAGAGATATGGATAATCTACCTAAAGGTATAATTTACTTCATTCATTTGCTCTAAAATATACTTCTGGAACTGAGGAGCTTGGTGTATTGAATGAGTTTTATGGTACTTGCTGGTCTGGAGGTATGAGTTTCAATCATCACATGGATTGAGCACATTTGGATTTTTTACTTGGTGTTTAAGACAGATTCAGTTATTCATGACAGAGTGGTATTCATTTGAGACAGTAAATCAAGGCTGTAAGCAAGTTGCTGTTCGCGTTGTATATATCTTACGAGAGTTGATGTTGATGTCTTTATTGCTTTATTCAGGATTAAAGCGTAAGATAGATGAAGTTGGTTATAGAATAGCTAATATTGGTAATCGTGTGGATAGAACAGCTGATCAAGTTGGTGATACAGTAGATCGAATCAACAAAGAATTAGAACCAAAATTAGACAAGTTACGTGATATTGATATGAAAGCAATGATTAGTCATATACGTATTTCCAGTAAGTAAACTTAGAGCTTTTTGCCACTATATATTTAAAACAAAAATAATTTTATTTCTGAATTCTGATTTTTTTTTCCTGTAATTTTGAAAAAGATTTACAGTCATGAACATTTTCCCCTTTTTGTTTAATAAGAAATAGCAGCAGTAGAACATTTGTCTATATTTACTAGCAATAAAGGCATATTTTACTAGAAAATGAATGTTAAGATTAATATATGTTAAACTGCCCTGCCAAAAAAAAAAAACAAAAAAAAAACAAATGTAAATGCTATTTAGGGTTTATGTATACTTTTTTAGGTAAGAATGCATCAGAAAATGTGATAATTTTAAAGAATTTAACAGATATTGTTGGTAAACAATCACAAGCAGCTAAAAGATTAAATGCCGATGTTTCGGGAAAAATCATACGCTTAAAAGAAAAGATCAGATTGGCCAGAGAAAGAGCTAATAATGTAAGTATTTTGATTTATATATTGATTTTGATGCTATATGCAGACAGTTTTAATTGATGCTATATGCAGATAGTTTTAATTGATGCTATATGCAGATAGTTTGAATTGATTCTATATGCAGACAGTTTTAATTGATGCTATATGCAGATAGTTTTAATTGATGCTATATGCAGATAGTGTGAATTGATGCTATATGAGATAGTTTGAATTGATTCTATATGCAGACAGCTTTAATTGATGCTATATGCAGATAGTATGAATTGATGCTATATGCAGATAGTGTGAATTGATGCTATATGCAGATAGTCTGAATTGATGCTATATGCAGATAGTGTGAATTGATGCTATATACAGATAGTTTGAATTGATGCTATATGCAGATAGTTTGAATTGATTCTATATGCAGTTTTAATTGATGCTATATACAGATAGTTTGAATTGACGCTATATGCAGATAATTTGAATTGATGCAGATAGTTTGAATTGACGCTATATGCAGATAGTTTGAATTGATGCTTTATGCAGATAGTTTGAATTGATGCTTTATGCAGATAGTTTGAATTGATGCTTTATGCCTTCATTGATCATTAATTGTAAACAAACAGTTACTGATTTAGATATATTAATATTGCAGATGAAGCTGTCTCTAGCAGCTGATGGAGAATGTATGAGATCTTATAGATCTAAAGCTACACCAAGTACAGCCAATACAATTGACTTTGCCTTTAAACTTAATAAATCAGCTAAGAAAGAAGAGATGTTGTTGCTATTGGTCCAGAAATCACCCACGGTTAGTATCGCCCCAAAAAGATCAAAAGAAGTGTAGGACCGAAGGTTGAATATTTCATACTGGTGATTGTTACAGTACTGCCAAATATTTTTATTTAAAATTAAAGCTGCCAGTGGGCGTAGATTACTTATCTTGAGTAAATTATGTTATTTTCTGCAACATTTATTAAATTACTAAGTGTATGATATGAGCAAAATGACAGATAAAGATAAAGTTTCTGATTTGAGATGGTCCTAATGGATACATTTGACCTAAATTTTCAGGAATATATGGCAGTAGAAGTAAGAAATAAGCTGGTTTATTTCCGGTGGAATGTTGGAAGTGGAGAAGGTTTTGTTATACATGAACAACCAATTAACCTTATTACTGAGGAAACTGTAGAACAAGATCATTGGTATAGGGTTACTGCTAAAAGGTATGGTTCACAGAGTTCATATATCTAAGTCATTATGATAAGGAATGAAATTTAATCTGTCTTTGAAAATGATTTCCCATCATAATTTTAATGTTAAAATGCCATTTATTTAAATTTTTTAATGAATTTTCCTTTCTAGAATTGGTCGAATAGGATTACTCAAGGTTAAATCATTAGCTAGAGTAGCATCAGAAACAGATGAAAGAAATCGATCATCAGCCATTGGTTCATCTGTTCTGAAATTTGATTCCTCATCTGATGTATTTATAGCAGGAGCACCTGGTGCTTATAATGTAAGTCAATCAACCCTCTCTTGCTGCAACAAGCGTTGTTATTTATTAAGGATCATTAGAAAGCTTGTCCTTAAGTGAATTTTATAGATCAGATGCTATGATATTGTCTAAAATATAAATGATTCTGAATTGAAAGGATTCCATCACTGATTGTTCATGGCACACAACTGTACACACAAAATGAATGACTAGTTTTGAAATCTATTTTATTTCCAGCTACCTCAAAATGTAACACGCAATAAGTTTGTTGGTTGTATCGGTGATGTTAAAATAGACGATATTACTGTAGGGGTATTCAACTTTAAAACTAATCAAGATACTTGTGAAGCTTGTGTTGAAGTGTAAGTATTTATAGATAATGGTAGATTTTGTTCACATTAATCTTGTGGGTCAAAGAGGCTACCATAAAACTGCATTGAGTTAAAGGAATGTTGCAAAAAAAAAAAAAAAAAAAAAAAAAGGAAAATTGACCACTTAATATTCCTTTATAATTTGATAAATAATAATAAAAGGTTTCAAACTTTGGTTCATTCAAAACCTTTTCTCTTTTTTAGTCCAAGTGAGCCTGGAAGTTCCAACATTTATAATTTTGATGGTACTGGATATTCTGAGATGAAACGTGGAAGATACCATGCTGAAAAAATAGCTATTAGTTTCTCATTTAAAACATATTGGGAAAATTCTATTCTTCATTTCTCAGGAGATTCTATGGTAGGTACAATTATTTAGGATTTTGTTGTTTTTTAAATGTTTGTCAAACTTTCCTGTCAAATTTATATAAAGAACCTGTAAAGAATATACAAACTACATGTAGAATGTATAAACAGTAAGCCTACCACTACCTGTATAATAATAAATATATATATATACAGAATGCCTATTTTTTAAAAATGAAAAGTAATTTGAATGAAATTTTTAGGGTGACTTTATGTCTATAGAATTAGTAGATGGTAAAGTAGTATTACAGTATTATATGGGAGGTGTGAGTCTTGGTAAAGGACAAACCAAAAATACTTACAACACCAATAAGTGGGTCAAGGTTTATGTGGATAGAAAGAAATTACAAGGTATGTAAAAATTAACTATTTGGTTAGTATGGAATAAGGATAATACACAGTGGCGGAGTCAGGTTTACGTCCGAGCAGGGGGTGGGGGGCAAAATTTCTGAGGTTGTCCGAATTTCTAGTTATGAGATTTTACCTGAAAAACATGCCTTCGGGGCTGCAAAGGGCGGGCGGCTTCCCGCTCTACCCCGCCATTGGCTCTGCCACTGATAATACATGTATTTGCAAACATTTTCTGTCAGCATTACGCTGAACTGTACAGTTGATAGATTTGATTATTTTCACTAACGAAAGTTCATACATTTCATTATACTAGATGTCCTTTACCCTCTGTACAATGTCTTATGTAAATGCATTTTATTATTCCAGCCTTATTAACAGTTGATAATGAAAAGATATTTATAGATGCTAAACCTGGCTTAACTGGTCTGGATCTTAAAAACAGTCCAATGTATTTTGGTGGAATACCTAAAAGTTTGAGTATGACAAAATTCAATAAGATGTAAGTAACAAGAAATTCTACATCTACAATAGAAACAAATGTATCAGTTCTATTCTATATCTACAATAGAAATAAATGTATCAGTTCCATTCTACATCTACAATAGAAACAAATGTATCAGTTCTATTCTACATCTACAATAGAAACAAATGTATCAGTTGTATTCTATATCTACAATAGAAATAAATATATCAGTTCCATTCTACATCTACAATAGAAACAAATGTATCAGTTGTATTCTATATCTACAATAGAAATAAATATATCAGTTCCATTCTACATCTACAATAGAAACAAATGTATCAGTTCTATTCTACATCTACAATAGAAACAAATGTATCAGTTCTATTCTACATCTACAATAGAAACAAATGTATCAGTTCTATTCTACATCTACAATAGAAACAAATGTATCAGTTCTATTCTACATCTACAATAGAAACAAATGTATCAGTTCTATTCTACATCTACAATAGAAACAAATATCAGTTCTATTCTACATCTACAATAGAAACAAATGTATCAGTTCTATTCTACATCTACAATAGAAACAAATGTATCAGTTCTATTCTACATCTACAATAGAAACAAATGTATCAGTTCTATTCTACATCTACAATAGAAACAAATGTATCAGTTCTATTCTACATCTACAATAGAAACAAATGTATCAGTTCTATTCTACATCTACAATAGAAACAAATGTATCAGTTCTATTCTACATCTACAATAGAAACAAATGTATCAGTTCTATTCTACATCTACAATAGAAACAAATGTATCAGTTCTATTCTACATCTACAATAGAAACAAATGTATCAGTTCTATTCTACATCTACAATAGAAACAAATGTATCAGTTCTATTCTAGATCCACATTAGAAACAAATGTATCAGTTCTATTCTACATCTACAATAGAAACAAATGTATCAGTTCTATTCTACATCTACAATAGAAACAAATGTATCAGTTCTATTCTAGATCCACATTAGAAACAGATGTGGCAGTTCTATTCTAGATCCACATTAGAAACAGATGTGGCAGTTCTATTCTTGGGCAGTTCTAATCTAGGTCTACAATTGAAACAGATAAATCAGTTCTATTCTAGATCCACATTAGAAATAGATGTATCAGTTCTATTTTACATCTACAATAGAGAAAGATGTATAAGTTCTATTCTATTTCTAGAATAGAAACAGATGTATCAGTTCTATTTTAGATCTTCATTGTACAATAGAAACAGATTATTTTTATTCTATTCTAGATCTACAATAGAAACAGATGGATTATTAGGGTGTATGAAAGATGTATCAGTTGGACCTATCAGTGTAGATTTACAGAATTTATTTACTGGTAATTATGTTGGAATGTCTGCTGGTTGTAAAGACACTGTAAGTTGTTTTAATATTAGAAAGTAGTAAAAGGATGAGCAAGTAGTTATGGACTGTAAAGATGCAGACTGTAAAAATGTGTAGAAGAATATTGAGTTGTAAACATGTTTTATATGTTTTAAATGACATAGTATCAGTATATACTGAGAGAATGATGTGTAACTCTGCAATGCAATATAATAATATTGATAAATTTTGTTTTAATTCAGGGTGTAAGAACAGTTGGTTTCTATGGTAATGGTTTCTCTATGTATGAAGGTCAAAGTTTAAGCAGTGGTGAAACAGATATTTCAGTATCATTTGTTACCAAGCAACCAGAAGCATTATTATTATTATCAACAGACATACCTCAATCTGTAAGTATTTTTTGCTGACATTGTCATGGCATAGGTAGTCAACTAGCTAGTCAATCTTTCTGGTACTGTTATTTTAAAAAAAGAAACTCTTTATTATGTGTATTGAAAGGAAAAGGACGGATCTTTGGCTAATCTTTGTAACTATGAACTTTTTGCATTATCCAGGAAGGTGACTTGTTTCCGATTCTTCACTCAGGATTTTTTTGTTGGTCTGTATGTAGCCAGACATGATCTAAACCTGTGATTAGTGATTAAGCATTAGAAAAAGGAGACATTTGAAGCCATACCGGTATATCATTTATTTGTTCTTTGAAGCCCATAGGAAATTCTTGCTCCATTTTTCAAGACTAATCTATTGGTCGTCAAAGTTGACAAAATAATTTTGCCTCTTTTACCTTTTAATTTTTTCTCCAAATTTTTTTATTTGTTTTCAGAATTACTATTCTTTATCATTAAAAGATGGTTATGTTATAGCCCAGTTTACTGTAGATGCCTATGATCTCCAGTTAAAGAGTAACATAACATTTAATGATGGAGCTCTACATAATATTGGAATTATAAAAGATAACAAAAGGTAATTGGCATGATTTTCAAAAAAGCTTACTGTTAACATAAAAGAAAGAAATAAACAACTATATTTTACAAGGATAATAGCTTAGGTTCACAGTTAAGGATTCTTAAGGATCTGAGAATTGAACTCACAGCCGCCGTTTGCTCAACGTAACCAAGCAAATGACATCATGTTAAGAACCAATGCTCTAACCAACAATGCTATAGACCTCACATACATTTTTGTACCATATAAAATAACAATACTGATCATGCATCTCTTTAATGACTGTGGATAAGTTTGTTTTTGCTCTCAGGTCAGACTACAAAGACTGTATCTTAAAACACTACAATTTATCGCTCTGTATTTCATTATGAGTTGAAGGGTGAGCGTTGTCTTATCTCTTTTTAATTATATTTTTAGAGTTGCCCTAATGGTAGATGATAAAAAACACACTGAAGGTCGCTTACCAAGAGGTAGTGATCAGATACGTATTGATGCTGGTGGAAGTTTATATTTAGGTGGTACACCAACTGGCTTAACATTGGGTAGTAATGTACCAACTAAAATACCTCTAGATGGTTGTCTTAGTAATATTATTATTAATGGACGGTATGTAATCACTTTCATTGATTTCTTATTAGCAATGTTGATAAAAACTGATGTTTCTAAAAATTTTCTAAGCAATTCTGGTTGTTCTGGTCTGTGTATTGTGGTATAACTTGTATTTGTGCCTGTATATCATTGAAAGCAAAGGATAATTTATCTTCTTTGATGCATATTACATCAGTTAAAGGGCAGTTGTTAATCTGTTGTATGAAGAGCACATGATTATGTACTGCTGTTACATTCTTTTGTGGGCATTTGTTTATCAAATGAGTTTAACTGATTTCATGATCACATCATGAAATTTTGATATTTTAGTTTGATAGCTATAAATAATCCCAAACAGTACAGTCGAGCTGATATAGGTAGATGTAGGTTTGATGTTGTACCTCCAGTCAGACCCATAGGTAAGTTAGGATAGTCAGAAACATTCCACAGCCAGATAGAGTTAGTTATTAAATGAAATTCTTTTTTTTTCTAGTTTATGCTGGACATATTTACACTTTTATTCTTCTTTGTTCTTTGTGAGATGTTCTTTGTGTTATTTAAGAAGGATTAGATTCTATTTATTTACAAATGATGACTCTTTCTATAATATACAAATGATGACTCTTTATATAAAATACAAATGATGACTCTTTCTATAATATACAAATGATGACTCTTTATATAATATACAAATGATGACTCTTTCTATAATATACAAATGATGACTCTTTCTATAATATACAAATGATTAATCTTTCTATAATATACAAATGATGAATCTGTTAATTACAAATGATGACTCTTTCTCCGTTATTTATAGTAGCATGTGATGACTCTATTTATCATTTACATATAATGACTCATTCTGTTATTACATTCGACTATTTGGGTTTTTTAAATGGGACACTGCTTTGTATTAGGTAAAAAGGCCTTTGTCAATACAAAATACTCCAATATAAATGTTTTTCGTAATTTTTTTAGAACCAGAAGAGACTGGTACAAACAATGAATTTCCTTTCTTGGCAACCGAACCAGCCATTACTAATAGAAAACCTAATAAAAGGACTACAACCAAACCGATATTAACAACCAGACCAAGTCTGACTACAACAACCCGCAACCCAAGAAGAACTCCTGAAACTGACAAAACAACATCAGCTAATAAACTTGAAGTAACGACAACACCTTTTCCAGAAAGTACCACACCAACACTTTGTGGACAGAAACAAGACTATGGTTATCAGCAGGGTGGTTCCAGTTTTGGCAACACTAAAGCTAGTTTTGCACAAGTCAAAGTAAAGAGAAGAGATGTTTCCAAGAGGTAAGAGAGATTTTCATTACAGGTATAGCATTGTCACAAGTATATGGATACATTTGTCCAATAAGATATTTAATATCATTTCATTAAGCTGGAATCCAGTGAAGGCACAGGTCAGGGAATCAAAATTTTCTGAAATTGTTTAGAGTTTTGATTAGCCCATATGCAGTAGTAGAAATGTAAAGTTTTAGAAACCCAAGCAGCAATAACTTTAAGATTGCCTCTGAAATGAATTTGTATATCCAACATGGCTGGCAAACCAAAAAAGTGGCATCTTTTTTATCTTTTTTCCACGTTCCTGTTGCAGTTTCAAAGGTCCCAGGTAGGATTGTGATGCAGTACTTTCACTTTCATATTATTTAGTTCTTTGAGTATGCCATTTTGATATAGGATACCATTTCTTTCAGTTTTAAGCAATCCATTTTGAACATTTAGGAGCATTAGTCACCTGCCAGAAAGCTTTTTACAGAATCCAATATTTGCATGATTTATAAACACCTAAGATTTTGATATTATTCCTTGTTATGATGATTTTATTTTGACTATCTTTGATTGGAAACTTTCCTAACATATGCATGAAAATATTTTAATAGTCTTGTCATCTTTGGTACTTTATGTTTTAAGCACATTCATTTATATCCTTGATAGATACATGTACTACAGATGTCTGAGATCTCACAGACCCACTTTCTGTATAAAACACATATATGTACTTAAGATTGAATTCACCATTTACAGAAATATTATGTGGAGTGCTTTATGTTAATAAAATATCAAGGATACTGTGATAGTATGGATATATTTTTTTTTGGGAGGGGGGGGGGGGGGAATTGTGTAATTCTCTTAATATGATATGATTAAATCTAACACTTTTTAGATTGGACTCTAGGTTTGCTAGTCCTATTTAGATTGATAGGATATTTATTTTTTTATATTTAATCATAAACTAACTGGGCTTGTTTTTTCAAGAACAAAGGTAGCTAAAACCAATTCTTCTAGATGATATAAAGTTGTTTAAATTTGCTTTGAGTATGACTGGAATAACCTGAGTGTCATAAAAGCTTGTTTTACCAATTCATTATCTTTCTGTTTTCAGTTTTAACATATCATTTGAGTTTAGAACATACTATGAGAATGGATTATTTGCCTTTATAACCAATGGTGAGCAGTCTGACTACATAGCAGCACAGTTAAAATCAGGCTATTTAGAGATATCCTATATTAGAACAGTACCAACGACTACACAATCAAGACAAACATATAATGATGGACGCTGGCATTCAGTAAGTACTTTACCAGAATACAATATAAAAAGACTATTTAAATAAGTTTGATTTAGAATTTTTTTCATGTTATGATCCACCTTAATGGCATTATTGGTATTTATTAGGAGCTTATCAACTTTGCTGTACGTCAGGAGTTAAACCTCTTCATATTTTGACAGAGTACCTTCATTTTTCATGTTTTCCTCCATAACTTTAACCCATAAACACTGGGTGTAAGCAGAATAAAACATCATATACCCTGAAAGTAATATGATGTAACTGGCTATGGTTATGTCTGTTTCATCAGCTAGATATTACATATTTGTGTGGCTGGTAGAGCTGCTGAACTGTTGAAAGGGTTAATGATAAAATTTAATTCCAGGTAAGAATAACTAAAGAAAGAAAAGATCTGATGTATATAATAGATAATAGAGAGACTAAAAGAACTAGAATTAGAGCTAAGTTAGATATTGATGCACCTATTTATATTGGTGGGTTACCAAATAATTTTGACCTCAAAACAGATCAAGTGGTAAGTAATGATTTCACATGAGAGTTTTGTAATGCTCAGTTCACACCAGCGGCGCTTTGATCGCGCTTTAAAGCGGCGTACAAAGCGGTACCAAAGCGTAACAAAGTTCGACTAAAGCGCCAGGGTCGTAATAGATCGTTGGAAAGCTTTAAGCAAAGCTGGATATTCGGCAAGAGCGCCAAAAAAATATTAAACTGTTTAAAAATTTTGGGCGCTCTGTCACGAATTGATTAAAGCGCCTGTCACGAATTGATTAAAGCGCAGAGAACGTATCAAAGCTTAACAAAGCGTAACAAAGTTCAGCAAAGCTTGACGTAAAGCGTAGGAAAGCTTAACTGAGCTTTATTCAAAGCGGGGACCCCAGTCTTCACGGTCTGTCACCATTTGATCAAAAGCGGCATGAAATCGGCCATTTCGAAATTATCCAATGCGTAACAAAGCTTAACAATGCACAACAGAGCTTGATAATCGTATCAGAGCGTGATTTAAAGCGTCATAACCGCATCAAAGCTTAATAAAGCTTATCAAAGCGTGATTTAAAGCGTAACAAGGCCTGGTCAAATCGGGAAATAATTCGTCCCCAAAGCGTAACCAATTCGTATCAGAGCTTATCAGATCGTAACATTACTAAGGAGATCGTGATATTTTTAGAAAAGTAAACAAAAAATGATGGCGCTTTGCTCGCCGATTTAAAGCGCAGCATTCGCCGTTGGTGTGAACTAGGCATAATAGAATTTTGTAAGTCGAATCACTTAACAAGAATCATTAAGGATTTGTTAAAAAAAAAAGAGTTTGTAAATCTTAGCCATATAATTAAGCTGCATTTTAAATGATATTAAATGGACATCAAATTTCTTTATTTTTTCTAAACAGTTAAAAATTTGGATGCTCGACATTTGAATCCAAATTGTTATCTTTGTAAACTATGGATGTTTTTTGCTAATTATATCAGTATAATATATTGTTAATATTTATTCACCAGGTAAGAAACAGTATACGAGGTTGTGTTAAAAATGTGTATATTAATAAAGATTTAATAGATTTATCTGATACTAAAATAATCAGTGGTGTTGGTCAGTGTTATAAAGATGTTGAAAGAGGAGCGTATTTCTCTAGAAGTTCATGGGGAGCTTACAGTAAGTATATTGCAAACAACAAAAGATGAATTTTGGCTTCGGCCTATACTCTTGTACATAGTGATGAGATTCTGGTATTCATGAAAGCACTGGCCAAGGTCCTGGTGCAGATCAACACTTTTTACAATGTACTTATTGAAGGATGTACAGAAGAGCTCATCTTCTGTTGTCAGTACATGCTTTTGTACAATTAAAGAAGTAAATATTACAGGAAAGAATGTACGAGTAACTAAAGATTGGAGTATAGAACTATCATTCCGTACCGGTGATAAAGATGGTATTATTATAACTAGTAGTAGTGATGATGGTCAGTCAGCACTAGCTGTAGAATTAGTCAATGGTCAGGTAAGTCTAGTACTATATAGGTTAAATATATAAATATGTTTTGAGATTCACGCAGAACTGAAGCTAATTGTAAATATATTAGTCTAAGAAAATAAGGATTTGAAAAGATTTAGGGGCATTTGGGACACTGTTAGAATCTGAAGAATCTTCTAAATTTTTCAGTCAGATGACTGATGGTTCTTGTTATTCCACTAAAACTAATAGTAAAGGCTGTAAGTTATAATTTTTTGTGATATTTACTGTATAAAGTAGTTTAATTGGAACTGCAAGACCCACAAAACATCTGACTGAAAAATTTAGATAACTTGTTTACAATCTCAATAACTTGTTAAGTTATTAGCTGTATAACAGCAGAACCAATGGTTGAATTAACAGCAAGGAAAGAAATTTCTCTTTTTTAGAATATGAATTGAGAATTTCTTGATCAGAGCAGATATTATCTATGATGATTTCATGTTCATTTTCATTTTCAGGTGCAATTTACAGTTAAAAATGGAGCCAAGATATTTAGAGCTAAATCTGAAATTGACACCAGATTTAAATACTGTGATGTTAATTGGCATATGGTAAAAGCTAGAATATTGGGTAATGTTATAGGGCTATCAATAGACAATGAAGAAGAGGTTCTCAGTAATAGTCCTGGACAGTTTGAATATATGGAAACTGAAACTCCACTTTTTATAGGTGGCACACAATGTGAGTGTAATATTTGTTTCACAAAGGCAATCTTATAATCTGGTCTCGAAGAACTGTAAATATCAAACTGAAAATATAGTGGAAATGGAAAAATGACTTACAAGGGCAAAAAAAACTCCTTACAACTTCTTAAACCTGCTTAAAACCCTTGCTGATGACACATCTTTGGAATACAAAATTCATATAAGGAAGGAATATAGTTCTGGAATAAGTAAATAGCATTCCAATAAAGGACTTTGGACATATCAGCAAATCATAGAAATATGATGTAAAAAAGTATTCTATTAATGTTGAATTTGATCACTGAAAAAAACTAATTATATTTTTTTCAGTTGCATTTAAAGATCAAGCAGCCACTAGTGTAAATGCAGGATTTATGGGGTGTATTAGAGACATCAAAATCAAAAATAAACCTTTAGATTGGTATGATTTGGTGGAATTTGGTAGTGTACGCAGAACAGCTTGTCCTATATTTTAGATTTACTGAAAAGAAAAGCAGTTCAGATTCAAGTTTAAAATCATTCATGGATAACAGATCGTAGATAAGACTGTGAATTTAAGATCATGTGAGATTTAGGTGAAAGTTTTAAATTGACAAGAGTTTATTTTAGATTCTTACAATCAGATTCAAACTCAAGTCTTAGTTATATAACCTTCTGAAAAAACAATTTTGATATTTTAATCAGATTATGACAAATCTATTATGACAGTAGACAAAAATTTTTTACTAAAATTAAAATTGGCAAATGATTTTAAGATGAAATTAAAGGTTTTAATCTTGGTGCTTTGAAAGGATTAAAGGTTAGTTTTGAAATATATTTGTTTGTTGGTTATTGTTCAGAAATTTATGTTTGCGGACAAAATTATTTCTCAGGGAAATATAAAACAAAAGCCTTTTTACAATCATAAATAAAATCAACATCCCATAGTACTTACAAGCAACTGCTATTTAATATTTAGATGAAACCAGATTTTAAATCCTTCTAAATTTTGATGTGATCTATTATTTCAAGAATAAATATACCTCATTGAATAATCAAAGACAGAATAAGATAGAATAGATAAATACCCCTTTTGCACTGCACAACTGAATTATTGAATTCGGTTATAACCGAATAGAAAAATCCGATTCAGTTCGGTTCGATTTGGTTCGGGTTGCTTTTGTCCTGCAATCCTATCTGGATAGCCGCTATCTGGATAACTTTTTATTTTTAGTAACACATCATGTCCCGTGACAAAACATTAAAAACAAATATGGACGCTGGCAATTATAATTGGAGCAAAGACGAAATTCGCTGCATGCTCGCTGTCTGGGGCGATACTAAAATTCAAGATGAATTAGATGGCATGAAGAGGAATAAACATGTTTTTTCAACTATTGCCAACTCAGATTAATAATGCCAGCTTGCACCCACAGTTGACGGGACTGAAATTCCTTATTTATAAATAAAAAATATGAAAATAAAAACAAAAGCATTTTCTGTTTCCTCTTCCGATATATATTCATTCTTTTCCTAGACAATTCGTGTACTTTATTAATCCTGTCAAATATCATTATAACGTCCCCGCCAACAGGAGCCATTTTGAAGTGCTTATACACGTGACACCCCACGTGATAAACTTATCCGGATAACTTCTTGTTTGGTTTCGCACTGCCACTTATCTGGATCGTATCCAGACAAAATCCACCTCTTGAGTTAGATTTTTCTATCTGGATAACTTCTGGTTATAACCGAATAAGTTTTTTTTGCCAGTGCGAAAACAACCGGAAGTTATTCGGATAGAACTGGATAGAACCGAATTACTTTTGCAGTGCGAAAGGGGTATTATTGTTAATTGTTTTATACTATAGAGCAGAATGAAATAGTGAAATAAATGAAACAAGGTGAATATGTATGTTAAGATCCATCGTTTAGAAACATCACAAATAATACAGACAAATAATTCAGACTTTCAAAAACCAAGCAAAAGACATACATACCCTTGATCAAAGTAAAACGTGTTAAACAGAAAAGCTTTCCATCATCAATTCCTTTAACAACACTTTTTTAAAAATGAACAAGGATCCAAACTTATCTCGAGGTACAGACATAGGGACATAGACTGAAATAGATCAATTTTTTGAAGATCACACAGCATGAAACTCTGAGTAACAACATGTTTCAGGTTCTGTTTTAATATTTCTATATTGCTCTACAATTGATGTATTGAGCAGTATATAGTGAAGATATTTGTTATTATTGAGTTAACCTATTATTCAACAAAAAGGGGAACTATTATTTAAAATTTAATTAAATTATATGTGCTATTTAAAGGTTATAAATATCTTGCCCAATATATCATCAAATAACATAATCAAATTTTAGAATCTTAAACTAGGGGTTAGAAATTTAGACCCCTAGATTAATTAATAATTTGTTAATGATAATTTGTTGTTGAAGCACACTTAAAGATGGATTCCCTTATTTTCATTTATGATTGGTTAAAACTCTTAATTATATGCAATAAGAACATAATGATATGATGAAGAATACATGATAATTCATTAGAAACACCATTTAATGAAAAAGTTTGCTTAATTTGTCAATAACGAAACCCATCTTTAAATGCATTACAAATGTCTGTTTATAAGAAATTTGTTCACAATCTCAAAATATGAAGATGAGAAGTCTATTTTCTATAAATAGTAATTGATTTGTGAACACAGCTGTATTTGTAAAATTATCACATTTGTGTTTTAAAGGCTTCTACATATTATTGTGTTTATTTTTCTATATATTATATTTATATATAGCATTATTTATGACAAATTGTACTTTTTATACTGAAATTTGTTACGTGTATACATTGTTTATTAGTTTCAGTTACATATGAATATCAGTTTTAAACTTAAAGTATTTTTTCTTATATTTTAGTAAGCCCATCTGAAAAAGTTCAAAACAAAAACTTAACTGTAAAAATTATTTATACTAGTAATTGTCAAAGATACAGTCAAACCTGTACAATTGGTCACCTATTATCCTTCAAACAATACAAAGAATTTCTTGTGACAGTTACAGTAAGTCCATCTCTAATTGATTGAGATTGTTCTATATACATGTACTTTATTTGGTATTCTCTAAGATTAGTCATAAAGACCACTGGACAAAGCGCATAGCATTTTTATTATCAACCAACTTACAAAATAGAGATTATATTAGATTTAATAATTTAAAAAAGGCTGCTGTGAATAAGGCTTTGAATTATTTATATAATGTGAAATTCCTTCAGGTAACTGAAATTATATTATGAGACATTTTACCATGTTCAAGTTTAGAACACACCTTATTACTTAGTGTAAGTATATGAAAAAGTCAGCAACATTGTCAATCATTATTTTGATTTAACGAAACTTAGAGCTCCATATTGCATATCTGAAATTAGTTGTTTGATAAAACAGCAAAATGAATTGTTCTATTTACATATTTTAACTACATTTTGTTTATTTTAACAATGATTGTGCCATATCATTTTTAAATTTCGAAAGTGATGTCGAAAGAGTGGCATAAAGTTCATTATTTCGTGTTCAGTTATTTGCTTTTAAACATATGTATGTATCACTATATTATGTGTCAGTATCTTTAACAATGTTTCTCTATTTTGATCAAATAATATTTTTCTACCTCAATCTGGATATACAAGTGTGTAGTTGTTTAGAAAAAGGCAAATTAGAATTAGTTTATAAATTTTGAAAGAGAGATACAGTCTAAAATCTATTTAAGCATATAAAGGATTATAATCTTTAATGTAAATTGTTTATATATGCGTTCATGCTGTAGACTCAGGCTGTATGTGTAAGTGAAACTGAACTGTTTATTTTCTCTTCAATAGTTAGGCATAATGAGTCTAGTCTGGACCTTTTTGACTTTTGCCTTGTCTTGAAATTTATGGCTATTATTTTTACTGTTATATCTTTACTTCTTGTAATAAATTTCTCACTTTTCAAACAAAAGTAATATATCTTTCATAAATTTAGAAGCCAAAAATATATTGATCTGCATAAAAAAATCCTATTTTTATGATATTGGATTTAAAAACTGTCTGTCTTTTGTCTATAAATTTCCTGTTAAAATTGAAAATACATCAAAGTTGAACCCTACTTTAATCAAAAAAGACGCAAGGAAATACAAACAACTTGTATTTAAAAACTGTTCATATAAACTTATTTTGAAATGAAATATGTATATTTAGAAGTGTTGTGTAGTGTTCAATCAATGCATAATGTATATTTTTGTAGTATCTGAAAGTATTAGTTTATTATCATTGTACTGTATATCATTATTAATATTTCATTATTATTATTAAATACCATATCTAAATATATTATTGAATCTTTTTAAATATTAACTAGAGTCTAGTCCCCTCAGAATAGTACCTTTCTTCTGAGAAATTTCAAATATGATTTTTATACGTTTACCCAAAAATTATGTGTTAGAGTTATATAACACTATGGTCAGAATGCACCTATTTTTCAAGCCCCTTTATGGGAGGCTTACGACTGTCGCGTTGCTGCATTGAGAATCTCAACGCCAAAAGCTTTCCCCTCATTAATCAGTCTGTCCCCTATTTGTAACACCAAGACACCCTCAGTTTGACAGGTTTTTTTTTCAATTTGAAAGCACATTTACATCACATCACTATAGTGACGGATGCCCAATGATTTACTGAATGATGAAGTAGCCCACTTGGGAATTCCAATTTTTCTTAGTCTTTTGGGGTACGTTTTATGTTTCAGCGCTGTAATTATTTTGTTGTTCTTCTCTGGACATTCTCAACAGTTGTGATGTCTTTGTTGTTTATTAGATGCCAACGGTGACTTCATATTGCAAATGAGGGCGTATCAGTGGCACAAGCATCTCATGGTTGATGGTTGTGCGTTCCCTTTTTAAAAACCTGCAGCTATTTGAACACTGAATATAAGATTGTCTTGAAATATTATTCTCAGGTTCTTCTGAATCTTGCTTTAGTGGTACAGGGTTGATGATATCTGTAGTACTGGTGGTAAATGTCGTTAAATGTGTAGGGAATTGCACTTTTCGAGATTAAAATTCATTTGCCATCTTCGTGTCCATACCATCAAAGTGCCTAAGTCATGCTGCAGGTATGTGTGGTAACTTCCAATCAGCAAAGAGTTGGTGAATGACTGTACAGCGTCAGGGATGTTATTTATAAAAATCAGGAAGACAACCGGACCTAGGACACTGCCTTGAGGTACTCCGCCTCCGACCTTCATCCAAGATGAGTTATTTTTGTTCAGTTAAGAAGCTCTCGATCCATTTCAGCAGTGGGTCAGAGATTCAATGGGCGCGGAGTTTCATAAGAAGTCTTTTGTGATGCACTTTGTTAAAGGCTCTTTGGAAATCTAGGTAGATTATGTTCACAGGATTAGCTTCATCAATTGACTCGATCAGAAAGTCCAATACTTCTAAGAGTTGAGTAACTGTAGAGTGTCTTGATCTAAATCCATATTGATGTTTGGTAAGAAGACTGATTGCTTTCAAGGTGGTGCATTATGGTGTCTCTTGGAATGGATTCCTTAGTCATTATTATGCTGGTAAGGCTTATGAGACAGTAGTAGCTGGTTTTGTTTTCGAACCTTTCTTAAATATTGGTGTGGTATTGGCCTTTTTCCAGTTTGTAGGCAGTGATTGTTGAAAAAGGGTAGTTAAGGGTGCAGCAAATTCGTTGCTGAGCTTCCTGGGAT